ACGATCCACTGTCACACCGGGCTCAAAACTCCATGTAATACCATCCCTAACAATACTGTACCACCTATTCTATTCTTGACATTTGCTAACCTCTGTACGACATATGCTGACTAACAAACCTAGGAGTACTGGAGTCTATTGTATATAATGTTCTTACCTCTGTACAAAGCGGATCCAAAAGAGTATTATTGATTGACTGCACCTAGAAATACCAATAATCAACAATAATCACAAGAATATAAGAACTAGTCCACCAGCCACAGGGCGCCCGATTATTAAAAAAATATCAGTACATAACAAACCCTGACGCGTTCCCAGTCGCTTGCGTTGGATGATTGGAATGGGTTAGAACAGGCGTAATCTCTCGTATTAATGCGTATAGCGAGTGACTATGGAAGAATCAGTAACAAACCTATCCATACATAATCTCCATACAGTTATACCAAAGCAGTCAGTAGAAACATTTGTTCTTAAAATGTTCACGTATGTATGGATAGAATTGTATGTAAAGCCGGTTTTCCACTAGGCGGAATTTTGCGCGCGGAGCGGAATTTTTTTTTGTGGAACTAATTAGAAAAGACAAAGACAAATTCCGCCTAGTGGAAAACAGGCTTAATATATGAACAACGAGAGCGAGTGTTTCACCGGGATATCCAAACACGAGAAAATAATGTATCAAACAATCTATCCGCTCATATACGACTCGAGTTCGCAGAATAAGTGTTAATTATCGCACCCTGTGGAAGTACTCACCAAAGAAGATGCAACAACAAGATCATACATTTCAATTCCACCATCGACCAAAGCGACCGTGGCACAGTTGATGGCGCCAGCAAGAACTAAAGTGAATTTAAGGTGATTCATCAGTTTTGCATTGCGCACTTGTACTGCGCATATGTAATAACATATTCTATAGTTAAGATACAGTAAGTAGAACTGCAGTGTAATGTGATGAAGAAGAGTAAGGGCAAAGAGAAAACACTTTGCATTGACTACACAGCTAAAAACGTTGCAGTATTGATGAAAACAGGATTGAACAATGTTGTGCGGCCCACATTGTTCACAGTTGTCAACAATATTGAACAATATTGTTACACCCGATTCAGGCTCAACAATATTGTTCAAATAAAACACAAAACAATAGACACTCCGAAAATTGTAAACATTTTTAATTCTTTACGTTTCGACTTTAATTTAAGTCATCTTCAGAAGAATCGTCTTCTTCTTTGAGTGTCTATTGTTTTGTGTTTTATCAAAATACTCTATGGCAACCGCAATATTGTTCAATATTGTTGACAAGTGTGAACAATGTGTGCTACACAACATTGTTCAATCCTGTTAAACATGTTCAACAGCAGGCTCATAATGTGTAGGCGTGCTTCAGGAAATATACCTTCAAAAATGACAGAACTCTGGCTAGGGCTGCTGTGGAACTAACACAAAACCGCATCATGTTGCATGTTTAACCCTCCTATATCTATGGTTTAACCCAACGGTTTAACCCTAATTGTATCTCTTTAACAAGGTCTGTGACCCTACGTTTTATATTTTTGTTCTGCTATACGTTTTACATGTCATATCACAAAATAAGAGAAAAATCATTTCTACAACTTGTAATATGTTACATTTTTCGCGCATGCTTTCCAAAATAACATGTCTGAGAAGATGGGGAAAGACATCTTTGTACCACGACAATGCACGTCAATGGCTTTTGATTCGCTAAAATACCATGTTTTCTTGTATATAATCACTATATGGATAGCTATTTGTAGTAGGATCCATGTTAAAAAAATTCAATAACGGTTAAGCAATTGCGATTGTTTTCTGTTTTTACTTTGAGCATATCATAAACTTTACCCCTGGGAGGTTTCAACAAATTTTTAATTCCAGAACAATTACTGATGAACCACCTTAAGTTGAGTTATCAACTTCACCATACAATATTTTGGCTACAGATTAGCAGTCTATAGTAACCGTAACAAATAATAAACCATGTATTTTTTTAATCCAATCATAGTATAGCTGCAAGGCACTTATATAACTTAAATTTGATGTTTTATTGCCAAAGGGAAGTGGTAGCTGTTAGGGCCTGTTCGTACGAAGCTCACTGAGCGGAATGAATTATTTCTGCGTTAATATCACTGTTTTTATTCTACCTAATATTTCGTCTCGGTGGGACGAAAATATGTAAACATGGCGTCTTTGAAATATTTTTGCAAGGCCTCGTGTTGTAATTAAACAAACTATTACGACTTCACAGTCTAAAAAAAACACTGTGGTTAATTAAAATCGTCTGGCGTTACACAAGTAAAAAAATAAACAGAGCGCATGCGGCTCAATGGGTTAACTAGAGACATTGTCAGATTTTTTGGTTAACCCATTAAACTGCAGAACTTCCCCATTGACGAGTAAAATCGTCTGGCGTTATAGACAGGTAAAAAATAAGTAGGGCGCACTGGGGCGCATTGCGGCTCAATGGGTTAACAAATAAATAAGATTTTAAGTTCTTGAGTATTTTAGTATCACGCGTGGTAAAAATAACCATTTTTGAGCCGAAAGTGGTTATTTTTACCGCGCGTAATACTAAAATACTCAAAATTTGCTAATTTCACAGGGCTATATTTTCCGTATTTTACAACATTTCGCAACCAAACTTTGCAATTTTATTAATTTTAGGATGCTCTCTTGAGCTATAATGATATATTTCGTCTTTCTTGTCTAGATAAAAAATTAGTCGATAGCTGGGATTGGCTATTGAATTTCAGGGTCAACAAAGGGCACACAGATCATACTCAGGCGAGTTTCCAGGTTAGCTGAGCTTATATGGACTGGCCATTAATGGGTATTGCTAACATTACCATTTCCATCGTTCTCCAAAACCATGATGTACATGTCAATTTGTGCCTTTGGAAATTTTTCCTAAAAGAATTCAATACAAATCACAGTATGGAATATTACTTTTAATTGAGAACCTTAAAATGTCCATCTCTACAGTTTTGGCTTAATGAGTTAATGTATTCATGGCTTTCTAGCCGCTTGGATGATCCTACGTAGAATGTGTGTTTGTATCTGTTTGACAAAAATCTTGCAGATCTCCCTCTTTTCCAATCATTCCAATCTAAATTTAAATATACTTATAAATACCCGACTTCCTGGCATTTTTAGCCCACTATGGTTATTTCAGGAAGTAAACAATTAGTATCCTAATTATTTTACTTCAAACAATTTGTAAATATACTTAATTTGTATGTTTGGATACAAATAAAGTTGTTGTCAGTGCCCCCCCCCCCCCAGTGGGTAGAATGACTGCTGAAATCTGAAAAGCTGAAATCCGGGTAGAAATTGGGGGAGGGCCCGGTAAGATGTGTAAATAATGATTCCCATCTCTTCTGTTTACCAATAAAAGTTGTTGTCTTCCCTATCTAGAATCCTAACTGCAGTAAAAATGCCTATGGTTGTTGAAAGCACATTTGAACTTGAATTTGCGCGCATAGCAGCAGTCATGACGGACGTCTTCAAAAACAAAGACATTGTGCTATTTTGCTGTTCTATTTGCGTGTACAGTACAACGTTTTACATCAATATTTTTTCGATCTAACAGCATAGGCGACTTAAAAACGCCGTTTTGTGATTGTTCTTTTTCTTCAAACCTCGTCCTAAAAGACGTGAAATAGAAAATTCAAAATTCTCCCAGGGAAACATGTCCCTGGACCCCTACCGTAACATACAACAGACAGGTGCGAGCAATACGAATGCATCAGTCAAAACTACTTGAGATAATTTGCAGGTCTTACCATAATGATCGCAGGTTCAAGTGCTTGTTTAATTATATTTGATAAATCTTTCTCTTCTGCATCCTAACAAAAAATATTTTTAAAAAACTTGCCACAAACTGTAATTCTGCATAAGATCGTAGACGATATTTATAAACATGTACAAATACATTTGAAAAAAGCCAATCAAATAAGGCGAAAACTGGACTGAAGTACCCATGCAAGACACCTTCCAGTTAAAATAGAATGTTAAAAGTAACATGAAAAGTGTTCCAGAGTTTGACAACCCGGTTATAAAACATGCCAGAAAAGTGTTTGTCTTACAATGTGGAGCTTTCATAATTAAAGAAATCTGGCTGTGTCTGGTGCTGCCATTGGCCAAAAAGTGAAATATATTCACTGACGTTCATGCCAATGTATCTATATAAGGCCTTGTAGAAAAAGGTGAGGTCTTTGATTTCCCTGTCATAGCATAAAGGCAATAAGTGGAGCGTCTGCAGTTTCTGATGGTAAGACATTTCTTTTCCTTTGTAACCTATTTCGATTTGTTACATAATCTTAACATTGTGACAAAGCTTGTAAAATTCAAATTCAAAAAACTAAATTAAATAGTTACCCTAACAGGTGATCTTCTCTTCTTGCATGAGAATGGTGCATATTTTATTTCACAGGTTAATTTTCCCTACATAGAAAAACTGAAATAACCACCTCTGTATCTTATTTGATAGATTTAACCCAGTTAAATAGGGCATGTAGTAAAACACTGACTACCGGAACACCGGAACACCACCGGAACACCGAAACACCACCATTTTGTTTGGGGTTAGGGTTTGGGGTTAGGGTTAGGGTTGGGGGTTAGGGTTGGGGTTGGGGTTAGGGTTAGGTGGTGTTCCGGGGGTGTTCCGGTGTTCCGGTAGTCAGTGTTTTACTACATGCCGTTAAATAGGACAACAGTCAAACCTCTCATTATGAGCATCTCTTTAATGCAGACAACTCTAGTATGGCTACTTAGCCTATCTCTCTAATACAGACAAATCTCTCTAATATGGTTACCTCTCTGATACAAACATCTCTCTAAATACAGACACCTCTCAAATATGGACACCTCTCTAATATGGATACCTCTCTAATATGGATACCTCCCTAATATGGACGCCTCCCTAATATGGACACCACTCTAATATGAACACCTCTCTAATACGGACACCTCTCTAATACGGACACCTCTCTAATATGGACACCTCTCTAATATGGACACCTCCCTAATATGAACACCTCTCTAATATGGACACCTCCCTAATATGACACCTCTCTAATATGGACACCTCTCTAATATGGACACCTCTCTAATACAGACATCTCTCTAATATGGACACCTCTCTAATACAGACACCTCTCTAATATGGACATCTCTCTAATACAGATACCTCTCTAATATGAACACCTCTCTAATATGAACACCTCTCTAATATGAACACCTCTCTAATATGAACACCTCTCTAATATGAACACCTCTCTAATATGAACACCTCTCTAATATGAACACCTCTCTAGTATGAACACCTCTCTAACATGGACACCACCTATTATGGATATAAATCTTCTAATATCGACATCTCTCTAATATAGACACCTCTCTAACATGGAAACCTTGCTAATATGGATATAAATCTTCTAATATAGACATCTCTCTAATCTAATACTTCAATTACTGACAATACAGACACCTCTCCAATACTGATAATACCTCCATAATAAAGGCACCTCTCAAATATGGACACCTCTTTAACATAAACACCTAAATTGGTAAGGTGGACACCTCTCTAATATGGAAACCTCTTCAATACATACACTTTCCTGATAAGGATACCTCTGCCTTTACACACATCTCTTAAATAACGAACACCTCTCCAATATAGATACTTCTCTCATATAGACACCTCTCTAATAAAGGCACTTTGCTGTATCTCTTATTAGAGAGATTTCCCTGGATTTACCTTCATTCTAAATTCTTGCTTTCTCAAAGATTCTCGTGGTCCATAACTAAAAACACAAACAGCAGAGTAATGTAAAACATATTAAATATTAACATACTATAACCACACCAATTTCCAAGTGAACTTACATTGAACATATTATTTTTGTTTTTCCAGTTTCAATATATGCAGAGCCTTTTGCTTGAGTAACTGCATTGGCTCGAACAACTACAAGGCAAAAATTTACAAAGAAAAGATGAAAATTTAGTACCAACTTTTTATTTATTTAACTTTTATTTTAATTTTTTTCCCTGTTCACAGGATCGAAAGATACTGTTATTGCCGATTTCAACTTACTTTTCACTAAAATGTTCCAAACTTCTCAAATCTGTTGCAAAGTTCAAAAGCTCATAACAAAATTTACAAATCGGTTTGTAAACTGAGCATTTGATTGGTTGGTTTGACTTAGTAGCCAATTAAAGGCTTTGTTTACAAACATGCTTGTGAATTTCATTATGAACTTTTGAACTTTGCAACAAATATGCAAAGTTAGGAACGAAGTTCGGAACATTTTAATAGTGAAAAGCGAGTTGAAATAAAAAATAATGGTGAATATCAAACATCATGGTTTTACCAACATACCATATGGGAAATCTGTAACCAATATATCAAAAATCATTAGTGGTGCTTGTGGGAAGGAAGGGGTTCTTAAGTCTTTTTTTGGCGGTTCTTGAGATTTGTGAGTCATGGAGTTTGACTACCTCACAAGTGTTTTCTGCAGTTGATGTCAATAAACTTGGCTTCCAGTAGCATAATCTCTTAATAACACATTAACACCCTAACCAGTGTGGAAAGTTTGTATCGCGCGGCGGATATCTCCAGCGCGCAATTTTGATGCTTTCTATATATTTACTATTAAATTTTCGAAATCTCCGGCGCGCAATTTCCAAACTTTCCAGTCTGGCACCCTAACATTCACCCTAACACCCACAACCGACGCCTGTGAGTTAAAAATGAAGCACAACTTACAAAATTTTCTTATTTCATCACATGTTCTGCCATCCTGTCTTTCACCATCTACTACAACCTGTATTAATGTAAAAAGGTATTGTATGCTTCATGCTTGCACCAGCACCATTTGACCAATAATTTGACCATTGACATTGTGGATAACCTGAACTCACGTGTTTTGCTCTGTCTTGCTTTATTCTCTTCTCGTCCAGTGGGGCTCGAGTCTCGTCTGCCGGACCACAAATACGTCGAGTATCAGAAGGCATTTTCAAACAAATTTATTTGATTTCAATCATTTTTTAAAAAAACTTGGAAAAACATGCGATTTGCCAAAGACGTTTGGATAACGGTAGCATGAAGTATACCACATCCTGAGCCCGAAATGACATGACATAAAATGAAATTTCCAATATGGCGGCGTGCAAGGAGCGGGATTTTAAAAGTTTCTATTTGCAAAAATATTTAATCGTTTTTGCACAAGAACACATCAATTTTCGCTTAGAGGTATTATTATTCGTTGTCGTTTTTACGTAGAAGTGATTTCTTTAAAGTTGGCTTGTGAAAACGTGTATATTTCAAATCATATAAGAATCTTTATAATTAATCTAGATTTTCCAAGTTTAATAGCCTAAACAGGTTCTTATGTCATTTACATTCACATCCTGCTTACCAGGAAATTAGGCTAAACAGGTTCTTAAATAGGTTCTTATTTTCTGAAGAGAAAAGCGACTCATTTTAGGGAGGTATGGTATATGATTTATATAAATTACGCACAAATAATCTAAGAAATGACAGTATATGCATTATACCAACCGTATATGCACTTTAAAGCTACACTGATTGTAACTTATGACTTAATTTTGACTTTAGTTGATAATATAAGAATTTGTTTTGATTTAGCCTGATTGCCCGAACAGGTTCTTATTTAAAGGCAGTCTAAATACAATATTTAGTCTTACTGCAGGGTTCGAAATAGCTGCCAGCTTCTGGCAATAGCTGGCAGTTTTAGGACCTTGCCAGTGATTTTTAATTTCAAAGCATAGAGGATCGGCGATGACTCGCTTACAATAACACCGTACATATACACAGAACTTGTTAATGTTTGTTCCTACACCAAATAAAATGTATTACTGCATTCTTACAAATGTTGTGTTGGTTTATATCACTATTATTTGGCCTATGCCCACTCCAGAACATAACTAAACTTTGCTTGGAAAATAGCTGGCAAAAATTTTCACCTACGAAAAACAGCCTACAAAATTTGACATATTTTCGGAACGTAACAATATTTCGAACCCTGTTACTAGTTCTTAAATTCTAGGTTCTTATGTGCAGGGTCTTACTGTATTATTTTCAGTGCTTTCAGACACTTCAAAAATGATATTTTGTAGGAGCTGCACTCAGTCTGTTCACTTCTTGACATATTGATTGATGGGCAATCTTTGCAAACTGAGGTAACTAATTAAAAACATTAAATTAATATAATATAATATAAGTTTTGATTTAGGATAAATTATATACCGGTATTTATTTTTATGCTAAATTTAGAATCCATTTGTTGTTGTTGGGTTAAAGGATGACAAAGAAGCCACAAAGATTGCATCAAGATCAATATTAATAAAGTAATGTGCGTCTAGATATACCATACCTCAATATCATGACCAACAGGTCATACTAATTAATTACCAACAAGTTGACAACAGCTACCAAATACTAGCAACAAATGGGCAAATACCGACAACAAGTCGGCAACATTCCTAGATTGACAAAAACTATCAAACACTGAAAAACAGTCAAACTGATTTGACCAAAGTTGCATTGCATATCTTCAGTTAAGTACATGTAAGTTATGTAAATACCACAACTCAGTCACTAACTTGTTTAGCCTAGCCTTCCAACAACTCAATTCTATAGGGTATGGGATGTGCTGCACTGGAAAATTTGTAAAATCTATGGTACATACAACACAATGTTTAGCATTTTTAAAAAGATATTGAGTCATTTGAAGATAAACAACAGGGCATAATTAGATTCACAAAGCAAATTTCAGTTACTAGAATATCAAATCTCCCAAGTTTAAATTTCATTTTTCTTCTAATGTTTTGCTTATATTTTAGAGAAAATGGACTGGGGGGGGGGGGGTTAGGGCAAAATGGTTGATTGGAGTGCCACCATGGGTGCTGGGCTGCTCCCCCTCTCTCTCAACCATTTTAAACCCCCAGTCAAAGTCCATTTTCTCTAAAATAGCAAAACATTGGAAGAAAAATGGAATTTAGAAGGGAGACTCAGACTCTATAGATTTGAGTTAGGCTAAACAAGTTAGTGACCAAGTTGTGATATTTACATAAACATACGATCCAAGTACTTAACTGACGATTTGGTCTATCTACAGTATAATGTAACACTGTATATCCAAAAATCTGTTTCAGAAAATGCATGAAATGCAGTCCTAGGGGTGGAAAAATAAAATAATTTTCCAGGGGAAAATCCCCCCAGGCCTCTTTATTACATACATGCGACACCACACCAAACTTTTTATCACCAACAATGGTCCCTAGATGCCCCTCCCCCGGACGAATTCTTAAAAAAACGCCTTGGGCTCATTGGGACCTCAAGTTAAATGTCCCCTTTTGTTTAATAGAGGTGTCCGCTGGATAGGGGTAATGATAATAGTATTTTGTTAAAGAAATCATGACAGTCCCCATTATGTACTATTTAAAACACGACAACAAGTGTTTTGAATAGCTTAAAATACGACTACAAAAGAATACTAATTAGGATGAACCATAGTATAATCATGCTAATTAAGATGAACAATTATATAATACCACATGTGTTTTATCAGATATAAAGTCACTCCACGTGACATATTATGGCTGACATGATTTGCCACAAGGTTTATGAATTATTAATGAGTGTTTTAAGGTATGATATGATATCGTTCACGTTTAATACTCTTAGGTCAATTTTCAAATTGTATGGATCTGGGGAAACTTTGGAGAAATTGATTCAAATTCTCAAGCAGTATAACGTTGATGACATTGTAAGTGTACACTCATAATATTCATTCTTGGAATTATTACCATTGGCATTCAAGCATTACACAGACCAACAGGCTCTATACAGTAGACTTGGTTCTATCTCAGGAGAAAAGTAGGGAGAGACGGACTTAGGACATTTGCAGCATTTCGAACATTACTTGCAAAAATTGGCGTGAAAATTTGTTATTGTTCTCAACTCGCTTAAGCCACGCCTTCGTAGGACAAATTCGACGGTAAAATTTGAAGGGTATCCAAGTCCGTCTCTCCCTACTTTTCGCTCATATTTTCGCGCCTTTTTTGACCGCTCGCGTGCGTCGCTATTTTCAACCCCTTGAGAGACGGACTTGAACCGAGTCTAGCTCTACAGTAACAAGTTGTTTGAAAGAATTTTTTACAAAAAATTTATTGCTTCACAATCAGTGGTGTAACTTTACTTTTTGACCACTTGCCCTCAGGGCAAGTTGGACATGAAAATTAGTTGCCCTGAGTAAAATTCACTTGCCATCAGACAATGGCCACTGGGGTACCTAGGTAGGGGGTATAAATTAAGGGGACAACTTGTCGACCCGTTCTCCCACTGCAGCTCTATATGGCTATGTTATACTGCCTCAGATCTAGCTTTGGGCCACAAACCCCCCCTCCCCCCAAAAAAATAAATTTTGAACCAAGTACATGCACTATAAAAAAATTATCCGGAAATGAAAACATAAACTTAAAGATGCCCAGCTTGTTGTGGCAAGACGACTAGCCCAATTGGGCAAGCAAAATAGAGATAAAATGTTTACTTGCCCGTCATGATATTCACTTGCCCCGGGCAAGTGTTAAGTTACACCTCTGCACAATTATATGTTTCACATTAGTATTCAACGTCATTAGTTCAACGTAAATTTGCGTAATCTTTAATATTTATGATCTTTTCTAGTTAGAACCTTCAAGAAAAGATGACAGTTTTAAGATTAATGTGGAAAGTTTTAACAAGAAATTAAGCCATGAAAAAAAGCTACGCTACATCGAGGTACCATCATAAGCGGTGGCGGATTGTTTAGTTACGGGAGAGGGGTTAGGTGAACTGTACGTGGTTCAGAGCGTCATGCTCGGGGACCAGAAATACAGATACAGATACAGATATTTCACAGCACACTCCCTATCAGGGCTTTTAAGTGACTGGTTACATTATGAATAGATAGATAGAACCGGACAGACGTGAAGCAGACCGAGGGAGACTTCGAGCTTACAAATCGCGCTTGAGCAGCCGCTATTAGTCCATACCTCATTAATGATCTGCCTCCAGACCTATGTGCCTAACCCACCCTGTCAACCTTCCCTGTGGGAGGAAACACGGAGTACCCGGAGAAAACCCACGACTTTCGGCAGGGCGTTGACTCTTACTCTTTTCACATGAGGACTGGGTACATTGAGAAGTTCTCACTGAGATTTGAACCTACGGCCTTAGAGGTGAATGGCAAGTGCGCTAACCACTTCGCCACCGAAGCTGAATTCTCTGAAATGGTATTTCCTGCGTTCTGTGGATCAAAGATTTGACGTGTAGAAATTACATGGATGGGTTTTTGTACGTGCTACTCAGACAAGTTGCAGTCAAGCGAGCTTTATGAATACAACTAACAAGATGTGTTAGGGAATGAGTGCTCTCCCAGTGAGTAGAACGTTAGACTCGCAACCCCACTTGAGTGTCCCTCTCTTGAATGTTACTTAAGGGTGAGTGTGAGTAAGCTTTTAGAATACAGGAGTATGGGCCTATTTGCTAAAATACAGGCAATAAATTTGAACAGTGTAAGGGTAAGTATCAGCAAATTTTGGGTATCTCACTCAAGTAGTATCCCAAAGGTCGCGGGATCGATTCCCACTGTCGCCAAGCTAACTTTTCAGCTTGCCCGGTGTGGATGCACACTCAGAGTAACATCACAAACATCATATTCACCTGAGTACACAACACCTGACCAACACACACGAAATAATCGATATAACTAGTTGTTGAAGAGATTGTAGTAATTTCAGTGGAATTTTTCGGCATTTAGGCCCCAATTAGGCCCAGGTTCAGATACAGATATTTCACAGCACATTCCCTATCAGGGCTTTTCAGTGACTGGTTACATTATGGGTAGATAGATAGATAGATAGATAGATATAGATAGATAGAACCGGACTGACGTGAAGCAGACCGAGGTAGACTTTGAGCTTACAAATGGCGCTTGAGCAGCCGCTATTAGTCCATACCTCATTAATGATCTGCCTCAGACCTAGTACCCAGAGAAAACCCACGACTTTCGGCAGAGCGTTAACTTTTTACTCTTTTGACACGAGGACTGGGTTCGAGTCACATTGAGAAGTTCTCACTGAGATTTGAACCCAACGGCCTTAGAGGTGAAAGGAAAGTGCGCTAACCACTTCGCCACCGAAGCATCGGAGCGACATCAAATGGAAGCTTCAAGATTGTTGTTCTAATTATTTAGAGTTTGACATTTCTACCACTTGATGGAGACGTTGACTTACGAAATCCTGGCACGATATTTTCATTGATGTTAGATCACAGTACCACGCAAGAGTCGGGTGTTCCCACTAGATTATTCTTTGGACGATTGGTAGGGTTTTTAATTTTCAACGCAGGCTCAACTCTTTATTAGTGTATTAGTAGTTCCAGTACCTCGCTGAGGAGGCAAGTCGAGACTGTTTTTTCTCTTTAACGCTAGACGATCCCACTTGTGAATGGGAAGATCCTATAAGATGTTGGAGAATTAAGTTATTTATCATATTTTCGGAATATATTGCCTTTGATGGCGAGGTACATGGACGTTACATGGTTAGCGCTCTATCCTCCGTATATATATATATAGAGGTCGTTAATTGTACTTCGGACATCTTCGGCAGATCTTGGAGTTTAATTGTACTTCGGACAGATCTCAGAGTTTAATTGTGCATCGGAAATCGTCGAACGGATCTCGGAGTTAATCGGGATATCACTTGACCGACCAAGGAACCCGGGTCTTCCAGCTTGATCATGAAAGGCAAGCGTGGTGCCCACGACACTCGATCATCTGATTTCTAACTTCAGTTGCAAGTTATGCTAGGATAGTTTAATGCCAGGATCAGGGATTTACACAAGCACTTTTCTGCTACCAGCATACGGTAGTAAAAACTCAATCTTCAATTGAGTTTCGAAACTCAATCTTTCTCCGTAATTACATTTTTCAGAATATATTTTGAAGAAGTTGTGGCAAATGTGAATAGTTAATAATATGTTTTTCAATTGGGACTAGTTAATCGCAAATTCTTCAACAAGCTGGGGGGACTGTTCTCCGACAAAAACTCAATCTTATATGTGGTGTTTATATTCCTCCAGAAAAATCACCATACTATGATGAAGAAATATTTAAAGATTTAGAAAATGATATTGCAGAATTCTCCACAAAAGGAAACATCATGTTACTAGGAGATTTCAATGCCCGCACAAGTAAACTAGAAGATTTTGTGTCCAAAGAAGGAAGTACCTTTATAGGTGACATTACCGAAACATCCTACACCCCGAAAAATAGGGAGAATTTTGATAGCACAGTGAACAACCATGGAAAATGTTTAATTGAGCTATGTAAGACCTGTAACTTAAGGATCTTAAATGGCAGAACACTAGGCGATTCATTTGGTAAACCAACTTTCCATGGAAAAAATGGAACCAGTCTAGTTGATTACATCATCTGTGACCAAGATTTAATCCAAAATATTAAACATTTCACTGTAAAACCTCCAACATATTTATCTGACCACAGTCAAATCTTAACATGGATCAGAACAAAACAACAAAACACTCCAGAATCCACTTATCCCACTCCTACAAATACATCTACCACTACAATTTCACATAAGCTCCCCTTACAGTTTATATGGGAGATCAACACAGCAACTACTTTCAAGGAAAACTTGAAATCAACTTATACTCAAAGAAAACTTGACGAATTAATTAATTCAAACCCTCCTGCAACCAAAGAAGGTTTGAATAACTTTTCTAATCAATTTCAAGAAATAATTTCAGATGCGGCCAAGAAGTCACTTAGAATTAAAAAGACTAAATATAGAAATAAAATCACAAATGTATGTAACAAAAAATGGTTTGACAAAGAATGTCGTCTAAAAAGGCACTCTGTCAGAAAACTAGCAAATCAAAAACACAGAGATCCCTTGAACTCCGAAATTCGAAAGAAATACCATGAGGCTCTAAAGATATATAAAGATACCTTGAAACATAAAAAAGATATTTTTCATGAGAAAAAACTCGAGGATTTGGAAATAGCTGCCGAGACTGACCCAAATTCATTCTGGAAAAACCTGAAAAACATGAGTGACAGCTGTGATGATCTCTCTTCTAGCTCAACACAAATAACCAACCAAAAATGGATATCGCACTTTGAAAATCTACATACAAAACACAACTTAGGCCCCAAGCAAGAAGGTATCCTTAAAAATTTAGAACTTCTTGAAAACAACATTGATGACAATAACACTCTTGATGACCCAATTACAGAAGACGACATTATAAGTGCAGCTACAAAACTAAAGCATAAGAAATCTGCCTACTCTGATAGGATAAGGAACGAAATGATAAAATTTAGTGTGAACATTCTGCTTAAAGGCTATCATAAATTGTTTAATATGATTCTAGAGTGTGGAATTTTCCCTGAGAAATGGTGCGAAGGTCTTTTAACCCCTATTTTTAAATCTGGAGACAAACAAGATCCTAACAACTACAGAGGAATATGTGTGACAAGTTGTATTGGCAAATTCTTTTGTTTAATTCTAAATAAACGATTGAATGATTTCACACAAGAAAATAATTTAGTTCACCATTCGCAAATTGGATTTCAATCAGGACATAGAACAGCCGATCACGTTTTCACCCTAAAAACGTTAATTGATAAGCATGTCACCCAAAACAAAAACAATAAAATTTATGCATGCTTTGTTGACTTCAAAAAAGCATTTGACTCTGTCTGGCATGAAGGCCTATACTCTAAACTATTAAAATACAAAATTGGGGGAAATTTTTATCGTCTAATTAAGAGCCTTTATTCTAACTCTAAATGTGCAGTCAAATTATCCAAATCCAGAACAACATTCTTCCCTTATTCCAAAGGTGTTCGCCAAGGATGCACATTAAGTCCACTCTTATTCAACCTTTACATAAACGAGCTAACAACATTATTTAATAATACTGACTCAGACCCCTTCATACTGCCAAATGGCTCAAAATTGAACTGTCTTCTCTATGCTGATGATTTGATCATCCTGTCTAGATCAAGATTTGGACTACAAAAATGCCTAAATGAACTCCAAAATTGGTGCAGTAAATGGCTAATGGAGGTTAACTTAAAGAAAACAAAAGTAATGATTTTTCAAAAAGGAAATAAGAAAAAGACTAAACCAAGCTTCACATTAGACAGCAATACCATAGAAATTGTACAAGAATATTGCTACCTAGGAATTAAGCTTAACTCAAATGGTAAATTCACATTAGCTATGAAACAACTTGGTGAAAAGGCACTTCATGCCCTATACAGTATAAGAAGACATCTCAATCTACACAATTTAAACCCAAAACTAGCTATCAAAATATTTGATACCATAATATCACCAATTCTTTTATACAACTCAGAAGTGTGGGGTGCTTATATCAAAAATGACTTTAACAATTGGGATAACTCTCAGATTGAAAAAACACACTTGAGATTTTGCAAACTATACTTGGGTGTTGGGAAGAAAACAACAAATATTGCTTGCAGAAGTGAACTAGGAAAGTTTCCACTGATAATCAATATTTACAAGCGACTATTCAAATACATTATTCATCTAAATTCACTACCTGAAGAAGCACTTGCCAAACAAGCTTTTCTTATCTCGAAAGACTTACACTCCAAACGAATTACCTCGTTCTATGGAAATATTATGGATATTTTGAAATCCTATAACTGCAACACACAAATAACATAACTGGAATCAATCGCAATTCAAACACTAAGCTTTATCCATGACAACATAAAGCAAAAATATCTTAATTTTTGGAAACACAAACTCGAAAACTCCTCCAAACTAAAGTTTTACAACACGTTCAAAACAGAATACCAACTAGAGAAATATCTTTCAACAATAAAAAATTCAACCGAAAGGAAAGCACTCACAAAATTTCGAGTGAGCAACCACAAATTAATGATTGAGTTAGGTCGCTATCAAAAAATACCAAGGGAAGAACGACTGTGTGAAATCTGCCAGTCAGGGGAAGTGGAAGATGAATACCATTTTGCAAATTCGTGTAAAGCCTACAGCAACCAAAGAGAGAATTTTTACACCACTCTCAGAAACAAGCCAACCATTATCATAGATCAGGCACAATTAGTAGATATAATGAAATCTACAGAGCACGAGACTATTTTATCTCTGTCGAAATATATTTCTTCCTGTTTTACGGAAAGAAATAGATACCTTGAAATTGGGATTGCTGTCAGTTAATTATTAACATACTATTTCTCTAATCTTAGAAAGTTGAATGAAAATTTTTCCTATATCTTGTAAATAGATCTTATTGGTTATCTGTTATTTGTTATTGGGATTGACTATATAGTTATTATAATGCATGTACTTCTTACTATTTGTAAACTTGGAATTTCTACCTTTTTACTATATTTAGACTATTTGTATTTAGATTATTTATATTTAGATTATTATGCTTTAGCAATACCTGTAATTTAAGGTCATGCCAATAAAGCTATTATAAATTGAAATTGAAATCAATCAAGCCCCGAGAGTATTGACTCGACCAGACTCAACCAGGCCCTAAAGTGACTTGACTCGACTACTGACGGACTGTCCGCTTAGGAGCTTGCGAAGACTGACTTTGCGTCCAGAAGTAAACGCCGATCCGATTATTATCACATTGCAGGTGAGGTTTGATAATAAATTCATCTTGCTATTTATTATCATTCTACAGGTTGCAAATGGTCAGCGTCATCTGATTAAGTATTATTCTTTGAAGACCAGGCATTTTATTGGCAACACATCAATGGACGCTCAGTTAGCACTTCTTATGGCGAACATGGCAAAAGTACGTAAAATATCGAAATTCTTCTTAATTTGATAACAGACTTTGTGCCATATTGAGCTCCGGTTCAACTTGACTCACATACACATATTAGTTTTTTGTTCGTTATTTTCGTTCCTAATGTCGCTGACATACAGTCGGTAGCAAAGTAAGCAAACACTATATTTTTATCATTATTTCTCCACCAAGAATCTATCAACTGCATTGTTCTAACATGCATTATTGCTCTTTTACTTTAAAGTTGTTTATGAAGAGAGGACAGGCTGATGTCAGTTTGTCATGCACTGCAGCAAAGTTAAAATCAACACTGTAAAATACTGTAGAATCAAGCGAATAAAATCGACAATTAAGTTTAATCGGAAAAAATACCTTCAATAACGAACTGATTTTACAAAATTGATACCAATCGCAATTTTTTTGCCATACAGATATGAAGTGTACTGTTCCGTCACACATTTTGTCATGCATACACGGAATGGAAGCGTTATAACATTTTGACATTCAGTTATACAAAAAATTTTTTCGTACACAGTTTTATTTCAAAAACTGAAAAACCGCATGTAAGCAAGCCTCTGATGTTTTGTATTAAAATATCACGTTTTATTAAAATATTAAAATTCGTTTTTGGTAGTGCAAAGATGGAATGTTTGTTTATGATCCATTTGTTGGAACAGGTAGGAATCACACATTTCCTGTTTATCATACATGCAATAAAACCTCACATATAAGAACCGAGAATTTAAGAACCTGCTAAAATTTTATGTAGTCCCCTTTTAAATAAGAACCTGTTTAGGCTGGAATTTCAAAGCATATTATCATATAGAGTCAAAAGTAAAAATTTCAAAATCAAAGAAAATAAGCTCTTCACAAAGTAATGAAAATGATCCAGAACCCTGGAAATGTCATTCAGATAAATAACATGTCTACAGGGTTCGAAATAGCTGCCGGCGATAGCCGGCAGTTTTAGGACCTTGCCGGCGATTTTTGATTTCAAAGCATTTAAGTGATCGGTGAAAATGTTTGCTATTCACCGATGACTCGCTTACAACAACACATACACATACACATAGCTTGTTAATGTTCGTTCCTATACACCAAATAAAATGTATTGCTGTGTTCTTACAAATGTTGTATTGGTTTACATCACTATTATTTGGCCTATGGCTATGCCCACTCCAGAACATAACTAAACTTTGCTTGGAAAACAGCCGGCAAAAATTTTCACTTACAAAAAACAGCCTACAAAATTTGACATATTTTCAGAACGTTATTTCGAACCCTGTATCTATATGAACACAACAACAAATAATTGTATTTTTTCAGTGAAAATACTACATGAAAAACATCACCGAACGTAATGTTTTCCAACAACATGGACTGTCAGATAATTTATGCATAATTTATATAAATTATATACCACACCTACCGAAAATGAGTGGCTTTTTTCTTAAGAAGATAAGAACCTATTTAACTAAGAACCTGTTTAGCCCAATTTCCTGGTAAGCACCATCTACTTCGGATGTCAAAAAATCGTTGTCCTGTCTGAATGGAAATCCAAGCTTCCAACTTCTCATTGTTCTATATGTTGACCAAGGGAAAATGAAATTTGTTCGAGGTAGCGTCCGTAGCGAAGAGTTCGAATCAAGCGAGTTTGAGTTAACCAGAGTAAATTGCTATAAAAATTGGGCCAAACCCAGGGAAAACTGGATTTATTTCAACTGGTTCTACTAATGTATATTATATATTCTCGTCCCTTTCTGCTTGTTGATCGATCTGGAACTGTGTCCTATATGCTTGCGTGAGGCCAAAAACGTTTCGCTCAGACATTTCTACAACATCAACTGACGCTCCAAACTCAAGTGCCGAGGTCTTCCATTCAGAGGAATAATTAATTCTCAAACAGTATGATCTCCAAGAAAAAATTGTAAAATAGTGTTGATATTTTATAGGGAGTATCCTGGTAGCATGTTCTCATTTTGGCTCCTATTCCAGTGGCAGCGATATTGACAGAACTTTACTGCTTGGCCGAGGTGATAAAGACACAATATAGTTTGTAAAATTAGAAGAATGTAAGAATTTAGCCTAATGGAAGATATCTTGGTTTTCAGGACATCCATCCAGAGCACAAGCCAAAGGAAAATGGCGAGGTAAGAACAGTGATTACGGGACCCACTGAGTATTTTAATAAAATATAAAACAACGGTAACTCCGAAAATAAACATTTTAATCGTTTTAGCTTTCGACTAAGATTCAGTCGTCATCAGGAATTAATTCCTGATGATGACTGAATCTTAGTCGAAAGCTAGAATGATTAAAATGTTTATTTTCGGAGTTACCGTTGTTTTATATTTTAAAAATATACATATATAAATGCTGGAACGACAACTTCAGATAAAACGTCCTATAGTTGGGTGAACCCATGTGGCGGCCTATTGGGTGATCTCTTGTATATAATCATGGGCGGATTTACTGGGAGGGGGGGGGGGGTTAGCCGGGGTTATTGTATACCCCACCTAGAATCTCTCTAACTCCTCTAATAAAGCGTCCAACCCCATCAAAATTTCGCTTCACCCCTCCTATTTTGTGTGAAAGGCTTTAACCCAAACGCTTAACCCCTGCCGAAGCTCACTGAATGGTGCTGCTTGCACCCCACCAGAAATTTTTCTACCCCTCCTTTTATATAGATGAAAATCCGCCCTTGTAGAGATTATAAAAGAATAGAGCGGGCATTGCATGAAAAGTTCAGGCAAACGAAAGGGACAAATTGAAGCTTGCTAAAGGCTGATTTGGACTACACAACTTTTGCCTAAAACTGTCGCATGCACCCTGCTTATACAACTTGAGTTGTCCTGTGTAAATCAAGGACACAACTCACTTACATTGTCGTAGGAGAGTTGTATTCTTGATTTACAGAGTACAACTCAAGTTGTATTAGTGAACGATATCTTTGTGTGTGCGTTTCAGAAAAAGACGAGAGTGTTAAGTCAAACTTTAAAATGTACAACCTCCGTGATCGTTATATTGATGTTTGGATGGGAGATCAAATGAATACTGCGTTAAGAAGAAGGCCTATGTTTGACGCTATTGTCACTGACCGTAAGTGCAAATGGGAATACTTTAATTCAAAGGGTATCTAGTGCAAAAATTTGGGAGTTGCATTCAGAGTCAGTCAACACTCTGCTGAAAGTCGTGGGTTTTCTCCGCATGGCTTTGCTATGGTTTCCTCCCACAGGGAAAGTTGACAGGTTGGGTTATGATAAACACAGTTAAGAGAGTAATATCACAATTGTTGTAAAGATAAACTAGTCTAGGCTAAGTAAGTAATTTATTATAGGCAAGTGTAATGACTTGATGTAAAGCGTATTTGATCATAGCCACATGTAAATCGTAATCGTCCACAGTTCAATATAATTCTGAAAACTTGGTCTGACATTGTGTCAGACCACTCCATGTTTTGATCGGACATGATCGGACACTAAATTATTCTCAAGAGGGACGTTGTCAGTTATCACAGTACTAGAAACCAAAACCGTAACAACTACCAAAAGTCCAAAATCGTATGCATAATGGTTAACAAAATTACACAATATCAACGGCAAGTTACTCAGTAACAGTATATATATTAATAGACGCGGTTGTTTTAATAATTGACGAGAATTGAGAGACATTGTTACTATGTGGATCGGGACGAAGTCAAATTCTATGATTGTTTAGCAGACGGAATCTTTGTTTGCATGTATTAAAGATTACAGATTTTGTTAAAAAGATTTGAACAATAAAGGAAGAAATGTTGAAATGAGACAAAACGGTGCAGAGCAATAACTTACTGAAAATATAAACCATGATATGAACAAACTCAGAGAATGGCTAATTAGAAATAAATTACAACACCATCCAGCAAAAACGAAAGTAATGTATATACAGGATCGAGGCATAACCTCAAAATTATGAATGATGATCTTCCCGTAGTTATAAATAACCAGCTGGTTCCTCGTGAGAGGTTATTTACCTGTCTTGGAGTGAAACTGGACGAAACTCTTGAATGGAATGAACATATTGAAGTGAATCAAGTGATTTGTAAAAAGGTCGCGGCAGGCTCGGCGGCAGGTATAGGAATGATGAAGCGTATTAAACCTTTCGTCCCTGCCAACACCTTACAAACAATTTACCAAGCGTTAATTATACAGCCCTATTTTGATTACTGTTCTTCCTTATGGGAAGTTTGCAGCAAACAACTCAAAGATAAACTTCAGAGATTCCAAAATCGGGCTGCAAGAATTATAGCCGGTGCAAGTTTTGAAACGCGATCTGCTGATGTTCTTCGCTCCATTGCCTGCGACGATCTAGAGACAAGACGGTGTACAACTAAATCAACATTGTTGTACAAAGTCTTGAATGGCTACATCGGCCCTAAAACTGTCTGTACCAGTGTAGGTAGTACCAATGTGAAAAAGAGTTTCTGCTTATTTTTTAAGGTAGTAATATAACCACTCAGCACAGCATTTTTACATCGGCCCTAACCTTAAGGAGTCTCTAATATTGAGAAACACTCGCCAAACTAACTACGATCTTAGAAATAGTCTAACAGATTTAACCCTTCCTAAATCAAAAAGAGAGTACCTTAAAAAGAGTTTCAATTATAGTGGAGCTAAATTGTGGAATAGCCTCCGTTTGATGCAAAGGTAGCGGAATCTGTTAGCCAATTTAAGAATATTATTAGAACTAATGATAGCTAAATGATATTTGTGGTCACACCAGTAACATTTACAGTGTAAATATTTCTTTTCTGTAAATAGTTAATATTTGACGCCCCCCATGGAAATCAGCTAATTGCTGTCGGGGCCAGCGTCATTAAATAAAGTTTTACCATACCATACCATACCGTACCATACCATACCATACCATACCATACCGTACCAGTAGACGGCCATATCAGCATTTTGCTCGGCTAATGGCCGGTAGCTGACCGTTATAGTGAGCCCTGTAATCGTCGTATAATTACTAGCAAAACCTCTAAAAGACCATCTGCATACTGAGGTAACTTACACGTGCCGATGTTAACCTGGGTGATCTTGCATGCTTTGGACTGTTCTTGTATTAGAACCGCTCTCGAATATGCTTGTCAGTTATCTCACAGTACTAAATATTTGTCAGATGAAATCGAACGTATGCAGAAAGAGCTATATATGCAAATATTTACCTGGAAATTCTTATTCTATTGCTCTTACAAAGGCTGGACTTATTAACGAAATTGTAAATAATAACGAACATGAACTGAAATCTTTATTAACATCTAAATCGAGCTTTTATGCTAGTCGATTAAGAACGATGAAAACTGTTCAACTTCATGAGATAATTTCATTTTTCCAGCTCCATACGGTATTAGAGAAGGAAGCAGGAAACTGGCCAAGGCACTTGATCAGAGAACTGAAGCTAATCAAGAAATCGACGGGCAAGTCAAACGATTGAATGATATAATAACGGCTTATTGACCGAGCGTGAGGTCTGTACAATCTCGTTCCCCGAGCCTGCGATCCTCTGGAAGGAGACGAAGGCTCTGGAATAATCCGTTGCCGAAAGCCAGGAATTCTGGCTAAGATTGAACTGCACATTCCATATCAACGGCCAGTCAGATTCCTCCCTGAAACGGATTATCCCAGAGCCTTCGTTTCCTTCCCAAGGACCGCAGGCTCAGGGAACGAGATTGGAGGTCTGTACTGTGAAATATCAGACCGAGGTTTTTTAGTATGGACAGAGCGACGAAGGAGCGAGGTCCATGCAAAAAAACAGAGGTCTGGTATTTCACAGTACAGACCGAACAAGCGAGGTCAATAATCGGTTTATTATATGGCTGAACTGAGTCTGTGAGCATATGCTTTTCGCGCGAATTAAATCGGCTATGGTCAGTTTCACTGGGTAACAATATACGGTAGGCATGCATGCTCAATCAAAAACAATTTGGTTGTTTGAAATTTTTATCTGTAAATTTTAATGACACACAATTGGAAAATTGAAAAGCAAAATTTTTTTCTGTTTGCAAAGCAAAAATTTCCCGCCAGATAAACGACATCCTGGACACTAGTCCAGATACGGAAAATACGGACCACGGTCCGGATATGGGTTTTTACGGACCGCTTGTCAACCAATCAGAATATAGAATTTTGGAAAGCCATATAATAATATGTAATATTAGACTGTTACATCAATCAGTTATGGGTGGGGTTATTTACACTGTGTCCTCTACCGGCTGATAGTTTCAGCAAATTAAATGCTATTCATATGTGGAAAACGTTTTTGCAGATACTTTTGACCACTATCATCATATGAAATCAGTGAGCTGTCCGCCATCTTGGATTATTGTGGATATGCAATTTGCAGGCCTGTAGGCCGATTTGAAAGAACCTTTTCTTTTATCTAGGTTTAAGTTACCGTCGACGCAAAGTTGTCTCCTTTCAGACGCCATATACAATTTATTGGAATTTGCTGTTATGTATCTGGTGCTGTATGGGCGTCTGGTCTTTTGGCTTCCTACTCACAGAACCACGTACGTCATCAAAGCTGTAGTACCATGCACGTTTATTGTCGATTTCAACTCACTTTGCCATGGACCGCGCAGCGCTTTTACGATTGAGGGGCTGGTGTTGAGATGAACTAAGAGAGGAAGGCCCTCCCCCAAAGAAATTTCTGAAAATTACAAACACGGAAAATGCATTTCACTGGGGGAAAAAGTGAAATCGATACTTTGAAATTTGCAATTGCGCCACTAAATCGATAGTATATCCATACTATTTCCATACTATATCCATAGTATGGAAATATACAATTATTATGGATAACCAAAATCCATCCTATTTCCAATAAAGGTCCATACAATTTCCATTCTATGACCTTCTAGGGATTTATATGGAATTATTTTAAATTATTTCGATTATAAATCAAGTCTATTTATATGGATTTATATGGAATTATGGATAACCAAAATCCATTCTATTTCCAATGAAGGTCCATACAATTTCCATTCTATGACCTTCTATGGATTTTCAAATTTTTTCCCCGTGTTTCCAGCTATTGCCCACAATAATTTTGTTTGAAGTAACCTGAGTATGTTGCCTGATGAGCATGCCACTATTAGTATTTATTATAGTACTAGTATACCAATTTCCCAAACCAAGCTCGAAAGAGCATATTCATTCAGTATCATGAAAATTATGGGGGGGGGGGACAAATACGCAAGCCCAACTTGGCGAGTTGCTTACTAATGTACCTAACTTGTATTTGACTGTACATGTTTTTTATGACTTGTTATCAAAGCATTGACAAAGCACAACATGTTTGCATACAGGCATATAGCGCAGGAAAATCATCCACATGTTGTACTTTGTATATGATGAAACCGTATTGTATATGATGAAACCGTATGATTTTCAATAGGTTTTAGACTTGCACCGCTATAGGATATATTATCTTATTACTCCCCCCCCCCCCTCCTGGTGAAAAAATCCTGCATACGGCCCTGAAGTATTTGATGTCGGGTCAATATTTTCATAGGTTTGGTCACCAAAATATTCCAGTTCATCCATGTTTAAAGTTGTTACATGTGAGTGAACAAGTCATCTCTGCGAATGTGTCCAGACACTTGATCACAATGGAGAAGATCAGAGAACCGCAGGCAAGCAATTTGACTTGATTATTTTAAACCCATTCTCGTCCCCAGAGCCATTTTCACTCGGTCATTCGTTGAAATTTAGGCTCTGGATTAGACGACTAAAGGGTGAGATTTGATTGGCTTCTCGGAAAAGTGTATTTCGCAGACGTTGAGCGGTTTTTGCCAGGCAAAAATATCCTATCAACATATGTCAACACAAATACTTCGTTTCTTTGTAATACTTCACTGTGAAAGTTGTTACGGGTGCTAAAGTGTCCCAGGTTTTCTTGCACTTCCGGTTCCGTGTGTCCCAGGGCCTACGGGGGACGCGAGAGGCCCTGAGGACGAGGATGTTTTAAACCATGCATGTAGTAAATTTTATAAATTCATGCTCCGGTCAAACGAGCATGAAAGTTGACGAGAGTTAAAAACTCTCGCTTGCGTTTGAGCGCCAACTCTTATTGACTCTCAGCATTTTCATCAACTTTGAGCTTGTCCCCCCTCCCGTTAAGGCCCGTTTATATTTGTATTTCTTGCTGCGATTTTCTTTTTCTAATGCATGCGAAATGAGTAGATGAATCAGTATGAATGTTCCGAGTGTATACACCCTTAGACTTACCCCAAGTCTCGCTCGATCCAGAGACTGCATAGACCCAATTGAGGGGGGCGAGAGGGGATCGGCTGTACACCCCACCCATCCCCACACTCCAATGTTTTTTCGAGTGTAGTTTCAATTCCGACGAAGTGAACGCATTGGGTTCATACTGTTAAAAAGTTATTTCTTAAGACCTACATATTTTCCCCAAGTGTCTCCACAATGCAGGAAATCTCGTTTCAGAGACAAAACTTGAAATTTTTCCGGCGGAGCATGCCCTCCAGACCCTCTGGAATAAATAAAATCCTGGCGGCACCACTGATCTTAAATTCTGTAAAAAATGAAGCCAATTTGAGACTGGCCCATTCTCATTCATCAGAAGAAAATTGCAAGGTATAAACGGCCTTTAGTTGAGGCCTACTTTGGGGGCCAAGGTCGCCTAGCCTAACTGAGTCTATTCCCTTAATGTCACCTAATTTCGCCTAATGTCGCCCAGCGGCGCATACTAATATACTTTTCTTTGAAAATTGCCAATGTTGCCTAATGTCGCACAATGTTGCACATAATAACGGCGACCTTGGCCCCCAAAGTAGGCATTGCATGCGTACACACTTGGGGGTTTGCTTCCAGGTGATTGTATCATAACAATCCCGACAGCTTTCTAGGTTAAAATGTTGTCTCTGTGTGTGCCCACACCTCGGTGGGAATCAAACCCGCGACCTTTGGTTTGCTATAGTCCAAAGGCAAGACCAAGCAAACTTTTCAGTTTGCCCGGTGTGGACGCACTCATCTTCACCTGAGTGCATGACACCAGGGGCCGGTTGTTCGAAGGTGGGTTAGCGCTAACCCTGGGTTAAAATTTAACCTGCTGCTTTAATTTGTGTATTTCTACACGTCTGTTTATTTCAAAATTTCTGAGAAGAAAACTCCTATCGATCCAGACAAGATCTCTGAAGAAATATTTCCAAATTTATAGACAAGCTGTCAGGACGTTTGCTTCGAATTTTAGGTTAACCATTAACCCAGCTTTGAACAACCGGCCCCAGAAATAGAAACATTCATCGTCGTAAAAACACATTAATATGGAAAGAACTAGACTGAGTTCCGAAATATCACCCACATGCACTAACCGACTTGACCTCGTAGCTCAGTTGGTAGAGCATTGGACTAGCAAACCGGATGTAGAGGGTTCGATTCCCACCGCGGTCAAGCAAACTTTTCAGCTTGTTCCTTATGGATACACTCAGAGACAACATCACAAACACTATATCTTCACCTGAATCCATGACACCAGAGACAGCAAAATTCACTTTGTATTTTTATCTTTGATTTTTGTTTTTCAGGAAGGTGACATAATCAGTATTGACGAAGTCGCAAAAGAAATTTACGATCAATTCAGAAATCAATATTTCAAAATGACAGATGTTGGATGATGACAATATGATCGTGTTGAGATCATGAACCGTGAGTAAGGGTCGAGAATTCTTGATCTCCAAACAACGTAATCTTACCAGTGATGCTGCAATTCGTACAGATGTGCAAGGATTTTCTCAGGAGGAAACCTCTGGGCGCGATCTGTTGAATTTCATAGCCCACTCTGCGCCACTCCACAGGTTAAGCTAAACTACTTCGTACGTGAATGAGAATAAATTTCCCTTCATACCAACATACATAAACTGCGGTGGCCACCATTTTTTAACTGGGGGAACAATTGCACCCCCCCCCCCCCAAGGAATCAGATTTGCCCCTCAGTCACATGATTCTGCCCCTGGAAAAATAGCTCAAACATTTCCCGGGTTGACACTCATACAGCCCAACCAACACATAAATTCACCTGCGCAAAATCAATCTGATTTTCTGAGCGATTTAAAGTCACAGACATAGTTAAAGTTACAGTAAAATATTAAAGCCTTTCCCTCCAGTGAAAATTTCTTAAAAAACACTGACTGATGGAAATTGTTATTTTAACATTTTGTTGAAATTTACACCAAACAAATGCCAATGGCTAACAAAGAAGAATAAAATATATAAATATTTATATTTAATTCCTATAAGTAACAAAGTAGTTTTTATAAAGTCTATTAATTATAAGTTAGAATTTCTCTCCGGTAATGTCTCGTCTAAGAAGACTCCAAGCAGAGGCGCCGGAAGCAATGTGAAGCGGGGGCAGCCATTTCAAAAGGGCACTTGCTTCTCAGCCATCATTTTCCTGGATTTTGTTAAAACTTTACTGTATGGATACTCGATCACTTCTGGCTATTACGGATCGGAAACTTCGAAATGTTGATCGATTTTTAGCTATTCGTTACACGGTGCTAAAAGCGCAAAATAAAATCAGTAAACAGACATACGTATATTGCTTGATTTAGAATTAATTTTACTACAACTGGTTAAAAATTAAGCAAAGATTGCTTAAAGATGCTGTACAGTCCGATCTGCGTATGTGAACAAAAGAGCCCTCTTTTTATTATACAAGTTTATTTAGGTTTTTATTTCATTTTATGTTCTTGCAAAGCTTGATTGTTGTGTCTTGATAATTTATTATACTCTAGAATCATGAAAATATAAATAGTTGTCGAATAAAATTCTATATTTTGGATACCGAAATGTAAACAAATCCTTTGTTTACATACTGACTATACCGTATCTTTAAACATTGCTTAAAAATAATTCTAAATTCCAATTCCTGTGAATAATACACAAATTTCAGAATAATGCACAAGGTGCAGTTCTGGCAAAAAGGGCAACCTGTTGCCCCCATGCTGCCCCCGCAATGTTTGGGCAACGGGGGCAGTTGCCCCCGCGGCTCCGGCGCCCCTGACTCCAAGTGGAGTTCCCAGACTTCTCCAAATACAGTGAGAGTATTTGGACACGAATGAGAGCAAAGACGACCTTTTCTCGTAGCTAGCTTATTACTGTGCTGTCCTTGCGATGTTTCTCCCCAGAAATCTGCCGGTCAGCCAAAGCAGTCATGACGTGCTGCGTGTCTCTGGGATGAACGAGCCACATTAACCTGGACGATAGTTGGTTGTTTTATCGCGTCTTTTCCTTCTCGTCGTTACTGAGGCGCTTCTGTTGAGGCTCTACGATTAGGCATATATACGTGTCAAGGCAACGAGGCGTCCAGGTAACGAGGCATGTGGGTTTGAATATACTGGGATATCAAAGAATGTGTTATGTCCACGTGAGCATTTTGGTTTTCACTCGTTTCCAACCATCAAACTGACGTTACGTCATTTTCTTAATTTTTACAGTTGGTTCTTTTTTGGGTTTTCTTGATTAATTTGGTTAGTGTTAGAATAAGGATTGGGGTTAGGAGTTAGAGTATGGGTTAGGGGTTAGCGTAGGGGTAGGGTTGAGTTAGTTACATAGCCATTTAACACCTCTTCCGACAATGACGTCATGTCAATTTGGTGCTGACCGAGCATTATGGGCGGGATTGCTAAAGATTATGTACATTTGTATATTAAGGAGTTTAGGATTTTTACATGGCATTACTTCTGTTTGTTTTCCTCTCCAATCCATTTTGGCTTAATCATTCTACGTTCTATGATTGTCGTTAAAAGACCGTCCAGCATTTCTTTGACACCTGATTTCGAGGCTGCTGATGTTTCATAATAATCACATCCATTTTTTGCTGCCCATTTCTTCCCTTCTTCAATACTGATGTGTCTATTCAGTTTATCACTCTAGTAAGGAATCATGATGTGTTTATTCAGTTTATCACTCTAGTAAGGAATCATGACGTGTATATTCAGTTTATCACTCTAGTAAGGAATCATGATGTGTCTATTCAGTTTATCACTCTAGTAAGGAATCATGACGTGTATATTCAGTTTATCACTCTAGTAAGGAATCATGATGTGTCTATTCAGTTTATCACTCTAGTAAGGAATCATGATGTGTCTATTCAGTTTATCACTCTAGTAAGGAATCATGATGTGTCTATTCAGTTTATCACTCTAGTAAGGAATCATGACGTGTATATTCAGTTTATCACTCTAGTAAGGAATCATGATGTGTCTATTCAGTTTATCACTCTAGTAAGGAATCATGACGTGTATATTCAGTTTATCACTCTAGTAAGGAATCATGATGTGTCTATTCAGTTTATCACTCTAGTAAGGAATCATGATGTGTCTATTCAGTTTATCACTCTAGTAAGGAATCATGATGTGTTTATTCAGTTTATCACTCTAGTAAGGAATCATGATGTGTTTATTCAGTTTATCACTCTAGTAAGGAATCATGATGTGTCTATTCAGTTTATCACTCTAGTAAGGAATCATGATGTGTCTATTCAGTTTATCACTCTAGTAAGGAATCATGACGTGTCTATTCAGTTTATCACTCTAGTAAGGAATCATGACGTGTCTATTCAGTTTATCACTCTAGTAAGGAATCATGATGTGTCTATTCAGTTTATCACTGTAGTAAGGAATCATGATGTTTCTATTCAGTTTATCACTCTAGTAAGGAATCATGACGTGTCTATTCAGTTTATCACTCTAGTAAGGAATCATGTGTCTATTCAGTTTATCACTCTAGTAAAGAATCATGACGTGTATATTCAGTTTATCACTCCAGTAAGGAATCATGATGTGTCTATTCAGTTTATCACTCCAGTAAGGAATCATGATGTGTCTATTCAGTTTATCACTCTAGTAAAGAATCATGACGTGTATATTCAGTTTATCACTCCAGTAAGGAATCATGATGTGTCTATTCAGTTTATCACTCTAGTAAAGAATCATGATGTGTTTATTCAGTTTATCACTCTAGTAAGGAATCATGACGTGTCTATTCAGTTTATCACTCCAGTAAGGAATCATGATGTGTCTATTCAGTTTATCACTCCAGTAAGGAATCATGATGTGTCTATTCAGTTTATCACTCTAGCAGTGCTGGAAAATGTCCGGCAGCGCCAGCAGCACCGCTGCCAGGAAATGTTTAACAAATATCTTAGCAGGAAATTTTCTTGCACCTTGCAGGAAATTTTTGTTATCTTGTATGCAAGAGTGCCATATAATTTACTTATTGTTTGAAAATTCCAATTCGAGCATTTTGCAAGTCGAGATGTGCGGTATCATATGGTCCACGACTCCACATGTTCTCTGAAATTTACATATGCAGGACGTTTTATATAGTTGACTTACACAGGAAATTTTAATTTTTGAATTTTGCTGCCAGGAAGATATATATATTTTCTAGGCCTGCACTCTAGTAAGGAAGCATTTTGTTGAAAAAAATGCATAAAACGTGACGTCTAGACGTTTTTTGCTATGCTTAGCGTATAAATGTTACCATGGTCGCCACTCCAAATTGGAGTTTAGTTTCCCAAAAATCTCACATCATGTAGCAAGTCTGCCAACAGGTTGTGTTCGCACTGCTTGTTCCAAGTTGTCAACAAGTTTGTTGCAAAGTGTTGCAAGAAGTCCGATACTGTCATGATATAATAACCTTGTGTCGTCAACCTTGTAACATTCTTCTTATATCATGACTGTATATCAGACTTGTTAGAACAACCTTATCAAGCTTGTTACAAGTTGTTAACAGCTTGTTCCAAACTTGTTACAACAACTATAAGAACAAGCAGTACGAACACAAAACTTGTCGACAGTTTGTGAACAGATTTGCAACAATAATTAACTTGTTTGCAGACCTGTAAAAACTTGCGCGTTTTTACGTGTGTATAGAACCAGGGTCTTAGCTAGGATTTTAGATCTTGGGCGTGTTTCTAATGACCAGGGCGTGCACATGTCAATTACCTTGAATAGCAAAATCACGGTTCTAGTTATGCTCGCCAACAATAATGCTTGTGGTTGTTCTATGCTTTGCAACCAAATACAAGGCGCGAGCATTACGCTCATATTGCGCACTGACATTAAAATATTAAATTAAGTTATTTCAGCAACTCTTGGGGGTATTTAAGACCATTTTAACACCATACAGTTCCCATTACCATCAAAATATTAAAACATCACGAATCACTTTTGCCAATTCAACAACAACAGCAGATTTTACAAACTTTTTTACGACGTAAATAGGAAGAAATTCTGTCTGTTGTAAGTAGTATGCACCATATTTTATGAACCTACACGGCCTTATATAAATAGTGAAGCCACGTTCATTTTATCTAGCCGTGTTTTTCCACTTTTGGCCGCGATAACACGGCCCTGTATAGAAGAGACCCTGTATAGAACTGGCCGCATAATTTGTCCATTATTTTATTTCCATTATTTGACCTTGAATAAGAAAATTTGACTAAGAATAACGAAAATCCACAGTTTTCGAATAATCTATCGTTCAAGAAAATACATATTTATGATATAATACGTAAAAATGGAAATAAAATTGTTGAAACTTTTGTGAAAGAGCGTGAATTGTTGTTTTTGTTCGTTTTTACTAAGTTTTGATTTTTGAACGTAAAAACATGATAACGATTAAAGGTGATCTACAGTCCGTATGTAAACAAAGTCTTTGTTTACATTTTTGTGTCCAAAATATTGAGCTTTATTCGACAACTATTTATATTTTCAAGCTTCTAGAGTATAATAAATGATCAAGAAACAACAATCAGGCTTTTCAAGAACTCAAAACATAGTTAAACTGTTTGTATCATAAAAAGTGGGCTCATTTGTGCACATGCGCAGATCGGACTGTAGATCACCTTTAAGGTTAACATCCTAGCTTTATTTCTGCATACAAAAAAATCTAAAACATTGCGTAGGAACATGGCTGAAGGGATCTTTAAAACGCGTATCTATTTCATGGAATAATACCCTGGCCCAGAGGTTTTTTTAGGTTTGGCGAACACCCTCTGGCTTCAGGGTAATGGAATAGTGGGTCGTGTTAGATTCTTTCAGACACCACAATGGATAATAAAAACGGACCGCCCGCACCTGTCTTAATCTGATTACGTTAAAAACTCAATATCTTTTAGAGTAGCTAGTTTGTGGAACTCTTTAACTACCTATGAGAGAGCTATAAACAACACAGTAGTTTTAAAAGGTCTTTAAAGACTGTTTCAATTTAGGTAATGTTAACTGGATAATGGGTATAATATCCTTCAGTTATTCTTTGTAAACGCATGACCACATCATAAGTTCAGCTGTAATTTTTATGGTTTTAAAATAAATGCCTTAAATTTCACTATCATGTTGTTTCACCACAAATAAAGTACTGTATATACAGCTTATACTATATGTACCTTGTTGCCAATAACTGTGACTACAGCCCCCTGCCCACCGTTGTCATGGAATTCGTGAAGCCAGCTATCCAGTTTGTCAAACGATGCCTTGTTTGTCACATCAAATATGAGCATACATCCCTGAAAAATCAGGAGTGTAAATAACTATAATAATTTTATGCCATGCATGGGCTGGCACTCAATCCCCTTGAGGAATAAAATCATCTGGCGTTAGACAAAGTAAAATAATAAAATAGGGTGACTATTAGAGTGCAATGGATTAATTAATGTATTTAATTACGAAGATATTTATCAAACAAATGATGAACCTGCCTGGGTGTCTTTATAAAGTTCTGTTCTGATCAACTGATAATCTGTGTCACCACCAAAATCCCAAAAGTTCAAACGATCTAAAAGATACAAGCCAAACATGCAGTATTGCAATATATGCCTGCTGTCACATACACAGAAAAGAACACCATTACAGCATAATTAAAACATCTTACATTCGACTCCTTCCAATTCATGAATTTTGAAACCTTTAAACAAGATCAATGGAATATTATTTACAAAATAATAAATGCATATGCTTGGCATTTATATGCTAGTGAGTGAAAGAAAACATATTGTTTATTATTACTTAACCCATTAAGTGCCATTGTTTTCCCCCTGACGAGTAAAATCATTTAGATTCCTGCCAGGGAAATATATTGCACTTTTTGCAGCTGTTTTTGGCTAGGTCTAATAAATGTATACAAATCTCCACTCGATAATTTCAATCTACAAGTTTACCTTCAATTGTTATTCAATCGAGTGAGATCAAAGACAGATTTTCAGATTTTACTCTGGGGGGGTGCAGAACATTTAGGGGGAGCCCTGGGGAGTTGAGTGATGGGGGGTGTAGCATCGCCAGACAAGCTGCAGCAGGGGTGGGGTAAGGGGGCCAAGCCATCAGGATCCAATTTTGAGATTTTTGGTCAAATCCTAGCCTGAAATGTCAGGCATGAAAGCAGGGAGAATGCCTGACATTTCAAGCTAGTCAAAATCTTTTATATTTAACTCAAAATCCTTGTTTTTAGTCTTACTTAGTTCAAAATCCTTATTTCAATCACATTAGTGTCATTTAATCCAATGAGCATTTAAATTTCTGGGAGGGTGCACCCCCGCCAAAAAGTGGGATGCCAACAACATCTTGATAAAATAATAAAGTAGGGTGCATTGAGGCTCAATGCAACTTAATGGGTTAAACATAATTATTATATTTTCCCATGTATCACTTCATTATAACAAATCCAACCAACCCCTATGCTGGTCATATTCGACAAATTTTCTCCCACTACAACAGCCTCACTTTTCCATTTGACCAACCCAAAAGAGGTCCTCTTTGACCTGACTCGTACCCAGTCATCAATTATGATTTATGAGTACATATCGACCATTCCCATCATGTGTCAGCATATATGGGTCAGCTCTTTGACATATGTCCTCCTGGTGCCTGGCTGTGTGAACATTCTGTGTGCATGCAGTTAATAAAGTTAGCCTAAATCACCTAATTAACCCAGGGTCCCAGGTTAACCGACCAATGGCTTGTTATCTACTACATACCATAATCCACACCAACAGTTGCATGATATGATTTTGAAAACTATAAGAAAATAATTGAGACTCAGTTCTTGCAAGATCAATAATGGTGGAGAGTATACAAATCATGTGTTATTAAAACATGTGGAAATTAGTTGATACTTTTTTATCACAGAAACTTCTGACCAGACTTGTTTTTCCAACTCCTTCGCTGCCAAGTCCAACAAGCTGTCAGAATAACAACAGAGTACGAATCTTGTTAATACATTTTATTGGTTGTATTTGAGTAATGAAATTTAGCTATAAATGTTTCAATTAGCCTCATTGAAATATAGTATATATTCATAATTTTATATAGTATGAGGAATTTATAAAGTACCTTAATCCAAAATATCGGTCCAATAATCTCTCTCGTTGATCTAATCTTGGTTGATTTCCCATCCATATTGCTTAAATGAGCAATATTTATATTTTAATATCATGTAAACAATATGCATATTGTTATGGCGACCATATTCACTGAAATGGAAGGAACATTGAGGCATAATTGAGGTGTGAGGAGGGGCATTGAAGTACATTTGTTGTTAATTTCTTCAGAGAACCCCGGAGAATAAATTTTCCATTGCGTTCCCTGGGATTCCGGCACAGATTCCGGTGCAGCGCTTTCAGAGTCCAGTTACAGAGTCATTCCGATCATTTATGATGATTTACATGTAATAGTAAGTGATTTGATTGGCTGGCTTATTTAACTAGCCAATGACAACTTACAAAGCTTGATCATTCCTCATTTCTTATTCTATCAGTGATCATTCTCTGATCATCGTAATTAAATTATCAAAACGAATTAGTGAATTACATCGAAAACCGCAAAACGAACTTCGGAACTTCACAATTACAACAAACATTCCAAACTTACAAATAAACATTCGAAAACAGATTATAAAAGCTTGTGTGTAGAAAAGATTATATATTCTATTTATTCTACCTAAATTGTTCAACTTCTAAAATAAGAAAATGATTTTAGGCAACAACCTGCTCCCACCTGACAATGTCAAGTGAACAACTGCAGAAAAGAATTACAACAAAAATTGTCCATATTGTTTTGTCTTTGAAGTTCATCTGTTTTGTCTTTGAAGCAAATTTTAATTGTAAACATATGATATGTTTATTTGTAAACAAATTTAACAAATAGCGTTGACAAACTTCGTTCATTGAAAAGGAATAAAGGCTGCCGTTGAAATTTGGGTGTGAACAGTTGTCAAGCGAGGACTGATGTAACTAATTGTGTATTGTGGAATCTCTTGGAGTGGAGTTATACCAAACAATAATACAGCTGGATAGCTGCAAATGTCACTATTGATTTATACAACATAAATTGAGGCAGTGCCAGTGTCGAACAAAGTCTACTTATTTTGACTTTTGTTCTTTCTTTGGAAAATTTCAACGACAATGTGTGTCAGCAGTTTTGGAAGTCTACCTGAGCCTAACTCGGACTTGAAGTTAATATTAGGCATTACTTTTCTCTTATCTGTTGCAATTGGTTGCCTAGGTAACATTGTTGCCATAGTAATTGTTGCTAAGGTGTTACGCTCACGTCAGACCGTTCCTAACATTTTGATCTTACTACTAGCATGTATTGACCTTTTGACGATCATTGTTGGCTTCGTGCCCGCACTACTGAACTATTTCAGCGGACTTAGTATTGCTCATGCGCCGTTATGTAAGTTTCAAGGCACTTTATTGAACTTTCTGTATCTCATGTCAGTAACCCTGGTTAGTTGTTTGAGTTTTGATAGATTTCTGGCTTTATATACACCGTTCTTCTACAAGGCACGTGCTGTGTTTGACTGCAAAAAATTAGCTGTGACCTTTACCCTATTCTCTTGTTTTGCAATGGTTATCAGCCTGTTGCCAAATTTTGGACTTGGAAAGCATGTTTTACAATATCCCGGCACATTTTGTATGTTCAAACTCAATCCGAGAGAGTTGGGCGGAAAAATCGCATTAAATACGAATCTGTCATTTTTGCTGTCATGTATGATTATCGTCGTCGCATGTAATTCAGCGGTTTCGTGGAAAAGTCTTAAGATGCTCAAGCGTTCCAGAGAACAGCGACCAAGTGTGAATATGGAGGAATCTGGGTCGAGTTTAAGTATTTGTTCAACTGACGAGTGTCAATTTTTGAAATTGAGTGTAATTGTAATGACGTCATTTCTCTGTTGCTGGACTGTGTTGATGGTGAGTAAAGTAAGCCCCCCTCCCCCGATTCCCAAGTTTCTTATGAATATTCCCAATTATACGTTTCTAAATTTGGATTACTGGTCGAGGAAATTGCAAAGCCACCGCGAGTTAATCGTATTTCTTAATTGAAAGCTTTAATAAATAATTCGTTAAATCTATAGGCCATATCAATGTATTCCAATTGTATATTACTGCAAATTACGAGTTTATATTCAATAATTTGGTACTTTAGTTCGGTTGGCTTTGTAAGTTCCACGTCCAATATTCCAAATAACCTTTAGAAGTGCTTACGCGTCACGCAATTTTCAATCCATCAAACTAAGTAGACTGATATACGCAATGCAATAATCTTTTTCAGTTCATAGACATAGTCGCTCGTATGCGAAATAAGTGATTTAGTGAGCGCTCATTTCAATCATACAATAACTTGTACGAGTTTACTGTCATAAGTCGAAACTGTCATAAGTCAAAACTGAAAATAAAGTACGTCTTACTCTTTTTGTCACTGAATCACGATAAAATCGCTCTGCTCAGTCTCAGCCAACCAAGTGTATTATTTATGTAAATTATTAGAGCGGTTCAAATGTGCGCATTCATTGCAAAATTTTGTGTTCATTCTAAATTTAGATTCGCATGATAATGATTCAGTCTGGTGCTCCATTCAACAGTTGCTGGGATATGGTTTCAGTTCGTCTGGTGACCCTACACACGCTTTCTAATCCATGGATATACTTACTCACGCGAAGACAGTACCGCAAAGCATTCTGGTACATTATCAAAATGTGTGTGCGCTATATCACTTGCAACAAATTTTGTATGACCGATGGCGATTTGGGTTAGTATATATTGGCTTGTTTCTTTGAGTAGTGCAATTGGATTATTAAAACTCCAGAACGCTCTCGAAAGACTGCATATTTTCGCCAGTGAGTTGTTTAAACACACTTAAATATACTGTTTATATATTGCACTCTTTCGCCTCTCCCCCCCCAGAATGATTGCCTCGTTTTCTTGCGGTTATTTCCTCATGTTTTGTGCACATAAGTTTAAGGATAGGCTTGTCACTGGAATTTTTTTCAAAATCCTTACTATAGAAATAGTATGGATCTTGGTCGAGGTCGAATATGTTAAGTACTTTACAAAAGCTTCAAAATAGGGCAGCGAGAGTCATTGCAGGTGATAATTATGACGTCCGATCAAAACAAATATTACTTTCCCTCACTGTCAGTCAATAACCGCTATTGTTATATAGCTAGTGACTGATTTGTGGCCACGTGGCTTTAACTGAAATCCAATGTGTCCCGCCGGACAAAAAGTGAAAAGTATTGCCCTCTCCGACCGACCGACTACGTCACATATTAAAATGCTCAAAATGGAGTCTGAAAGTTTAGAAGAACGCTTTTTTCCAGTTTACCAAGAGAGTACAGTATGTATTAACAGACAAGAAACAAAAACACAATAACCACAAGAGGTTCTTTTAAAGTCTTTAAAGTTCAAATCACTTACATAAAAGAGGTTTATACATTAAATGTAATGTCTGTTTCGCTGGGAAGCAGTTAGTTTGGTTTTGCCTTGAATCTCGACATTTAAACTCTCGGTGAAGCGAAACTAACTATTTCCCTCGGGCCGGGGGGAGGGGCAGACATTAAGTGTATATTAATATGTCGTACATATATTATGAATATTTTATGCAGTTTGTTGACTGAGAATTAAAGGTGACTCAGACCCCAGGACATTTCATTCCAGCAGTTCCTATCGCCAATGAATGGAACAAATTTGATAAATCGTTTTGGAATAATGCTTATTCTAACTTTGTATTAAAGGTCTAGGTGAGAAAAGTCTGCAGCAGCCAGCAGAATCGGACGCTTCAACATTTTTGTCCGTTTAGGACCTATTAGTAATTGTTCGGCATAGTATAGTCTTATTTTAATATTTAATTAGTATTCTATTTCTTCTTCCAATATTAAAAGCGAACAAATTTGTATCTTTTAGATGATATACTGGGACTACCAACATCAAAGGTTCAGTCTGCGAAAGTTGAGAAAAAAACTGACAGTAAAGAGAATCTATTGCTTTCAAACTCTGGGTCTGTGCAGAAAACCTGAAAGACTGGGTACGATTAGATGCCGATGTTGCAGTTAAAGTGGCAGTGTCACGCTATTTGTTTCTTTCTATTAATGAATAATGACAATTGACAAATTTAGATAAGAATAGTTCTAGGACTTCTATAGGTACGTAAAAACAATTGTAAATTAAGGACCATTGCTAGAAATCGCGGACATTTGGAACACAGCATGCATTCTCGCCCCAGTCCCCATGTTCACTCTTATTTTCAAATTATATCAGGAATGTAGATGGTTATCCACTTTTAACATAAAATATCTTTTAAGAATCATACTAAATTAAAAATGTGCATTGTGGAAACAAAATTCCGTGAACTAATCAAGGAAATAAGAAAGAAAACTGAAACTAATAATAAAATGTAATGATTATTTACGATACTTAAAACTGGGCAACAACGCAATTAAATGTGCGGCAGGATTTCTAACTAATTTATCAAAAGGACAATAATCCACATTTTACAAAGTCAAATTACGGCTTAATGATCGATGAACTTAAAAATGTGCAGTAATATTTAAACAATATGCAGATATTAGTATCCGAAATAATAGTTCGCATATCTTAATCTGTGATGTCAATGTGTATTTGCTTCATTCCAAGTTTGCATAAAATCGAAGGTTCGTTTATTAGACACGATCATCAGGTTCTAATGTCGCGGTTTGGCGATGATTTTTTAGGCAAAAATGACCCAAAATATATCATTCGAAAGCTCTTTTCTTCTGTTTTTTGTTTGTTTACATTTTGTAATCCTTTTAGTATGATTACATTTTGTAATAATCCTTTTTGTAATCCTTTTAATAATGCTTTTAGTTATATTTAGAATAATAAATTTCGGGGATCAAAAGGGGCAATAAGGGACATAGACGTAAGGGATGTTTCGGGATTCAAATGTCCGCGATTTCTAGCGATGATTTCAAATATCCACGGAGTAACCTGTCAATAAATTGCTCGTCTTTTGTTGCACTTTTGCAAGTCTAAAGTCGGTTACAGACGAGCAAGTTTTCTATGACAAGTTTTTATGTGACAAGTTTTATTTGCTCGTCTGTACGCGCAACTTTAACAATTTTTGAACAAGTGCACTTGTCATGCATAGAAGAAATTGTCAAAGTACAAATTTTGTTCGTCTGTATGGGTCAACAAAGAAAACTTGTCAAAGTAATCTGAGCATTTGATGTGATTGGCCAGCAGACTATCATAATCTTTCTGCCATGGCGGCGATAAAGACCTTTTTCTGACACGTTCACACCAGTAAATAAAACTTGCCATGTGAAAACTTGTCATATAAAATTTGTTGCATATACATACGTGCACTTGGCAAATAAAACTTGTCACATAAAAACTTGTCATAGAAATGTAACCGACTTAAGCCTTCGACAGTTGGATTTTCAATGTTCTCAACATTAAAAAAATAGAGTACGACATGATTTCCTGTACTTTGGTATAGATACAATGTAAAGCAAGGGCGTTGTGATGTAAAACATTGGAAAGAAATAGGCTTGAAACAAATCGACATTTGGGTGTTCAAATTCCGTGACACAAAACTCACACCAAATGTTTACAGATTTTATACCAGATATCAACACTTGCGGTAGGATAAAAAACACCAGGTTAAGAAGAAGCAGCAAAATAACTTTTGAGAATCTTCTTTCGTTTTCCAGTCTTTTCCTTTCTGCTCTATGTTCCAGATTTTTTGATGCGTCAGTTCCATTTAGTCGATTGCCAAGTGATTGTATGTCATGGCTTACATGGAGTCGAGCAACTGTTTGCCAAGTTTTAACATTTAAAATTATAATAACGATTAAAACAAAACAATAAATTGGGAATAAGCTCAGCGCAAACATTTTAGCGACATCCATTTTCGGAATAAAATCGTAGATTTGCGGAGAAGTTATTGCTGCTAAAGTACTGCTTAAAATCCAGAAAAATGTCACAGAATAAACGACACGACGTTTTGTGATAATCCTTGAGTAGAATAAGGGTTTGCATGCCAAAAAGTAACGATCAAGCGTGAGCATGAATACGGCAAAAATTGTGTTATAAAATCCAAAAATAAACCCATACAGCCATAAGTATATTTTTCCATAGCCAGATAACATGAGTATGTTTATGATTAATATTAGAAGTGGTAAAAAACCAAGCAATCCAAAATTGAAAAGCAAGTACGATGAACAGGATCGGAAACATTTTAAAGGATCTTTTAATATGGTTACAAGTAAAATGCCATTCAATATGCTAGGAAGATTATAAATAATCAGGAATAAAGGGTTTAGTATCGTATTCCAAGTTATCCATTCCATTACTTCTGGTGCAGGTGAAGAGGAATTTTGGGACACGTTCTCTGATTTATTTTCCATTTTCGCGGCGACAACAACTCCCACGAGATAGTGTTTCCCGAGTTCCTTTCTTGCAACGTTCTTCCAATATTGTAGCTATTTTTCGAGGTAGGATTAAAGATGTCTTTCGCTTGACATACAGAAATCACTCTGATCGACTTGTGTCAACAAATGTTTCGATCATAAGTTCTCATTTGACTTGATACTTGGTTTACTTTAATTTAGATTGGATTTTTTTTGAAATCGAGATAATTTCAAATTTATTTTCTTTGCAGACTAGAAAAAACAACTTTGTCACGCCTGACACTGTCACGACTGAAGGGCTTATCTGAGCTCTTCTGGCGTCGTTTTGTACTCATATATAAGTCAGTCGAAGCTATTTTAGAGCATTCTAGACAATTTATAATCAAAAACGAGATGCCTGTTCTAATTATTTTAGGACATAGGTTGTTCAAACACATCATACGTACGTACACCTTAATTAAAAACTAATTAATTTAAATGTCGACATGCAGTGTATTGTAAAATATTAAGATTTTGTTGGTATCTTATAGTCGATCGAATAATAGTTGAAGGGTCAGGTAAATGGAAATTATCGAGTCAGGAAATTTATATACATTTATATAATACCTTATTAAATTCTAATCGTTTAATTGGCTGTTTATGGTCACGTGATATTGAATAGAAAATTCCATTTCCCAAGAGTGCAATGGAATAAAACGTATAGTACAATTGCACTCTTTGTGTTTTCGATAAATCGCATCCCTCAAAATGCTTCTCATACGAATCTATTAGTCTGTTCTGGACTTTTGGTATTATATAAAACAAATAATGAATGTTTCTTCGTGCAATGGTAAGAATATTTTCATTGGGTGAAAGATGGAATGTTCCATTCAACTCGGCTGTCGCCTCGTTGAATGGAACATTCCATCTTTCACCTCATGAAAATATTCTTACCATTGCACTCACGAACATTCATTATTTGTATATTATTACACCTAATCAGGAGCAGTTGCGAAAAATGCAACTACAGGTCCCTGGCAGGAATCAAACCTGCATCCCTACCAGACCCTTCAACTATTGTAAAATATAACTGAAAAAGAAAGAAACAAATATTTTTCTGACAATGTTTTCAATATACTTAATTCTTAAACATGCTGTGGCCAGAAATGACATTGTTACATATGATACTATTTTGGCAATAAATTGCATTCGTTGTAAATTAATTTCATCACAAACAGCGGAAAAAGAATAAAATTTATTTAACAAGCTGAGTCAACACAATTTCGGCAATTAATATAGATATATATATTGTTAGTTTCAATTTCTTAATTAAAATGCATTATGTATATGTAGTGCATGAACAACTCTAATTTTTGTAAGACTTTTAATCACCTGAGTCAGTCAGGTCATATATATATAGAGGGCAAAATTACTCAAATATGATTGGCTAATGAAGAGGGCAATTTTTTCTTAATTCAGAGCAAAATTACTTGACAGTGTGCCTGATTGGCTGAAGCGCGGGAAGTTTCTTGTTTTGACAAGTAATCGCACAGTTCCTCGTAAAATTAAGGTTTAATTACTGAACGGTACCATTACAAAATTAATAAGGAAAGCGATAGACATATCTAAATGAAACTTAATATAGTTAATTACGAGGATATCAATATTCTTTAGAAGATGTTTGTTTTCATATTTTAAACATATCGATTGCCAAACATTGCCATTGGCATTGTTTGAACAATTTAATTATTATTTTAGAGTGTCTCTGTGCGTGAAACTTATTAAAGAGTCAAAATTTGAGAACTAATTACAGTATAGTCGTTCATCTTCATCATCAATCACATTTACAGTTCAACTCAATTCTATTTTAATGTTGAGGGTTACGGCTAGCCCTTTCACAAATGCGAGGTCTGGGACGTACCTGCATGCTTTCATTTCATGTCTTCATATTTACCAAATGGCAAATGTTATAATTAGCCCAAAATTGATCAGACTGACAAGTAAAAGGCGCACAATCCGGTAAAAAAAACAATGGGACTTCTTATAGCAACCCTTTAAGTTCAACTAAAAAACTCACAGTTCAGAATCTTTTTATGGATTTGTCAGGGGGGGATGGAGAAAAAGAGACCTTACAAGGAAATCAATGAAGCCCAGAGGCCAGAACTGAAAAAGTGTGAACTTCAAGGCCGGCGAGAGCCAACCACGGGCCCCGGGACAAAATGACGATTGGTGAACACAAGCCCATTGTCTCTCTCGACTCTCCCGCTGGCTATTTTTAATCGCAATCAATGAGAGAATTGTCAGCGAATTACTTGCAAAAATCGCCGCATAACTAAAAAAAAACGCAATGCGAACGATGTTCAGCTAACTGTTTTTGCTGAGAAAACGATCGCAAAATCGTTTATTTCACATTTGGTACGTTTTACGATCGATCACGACGATCGATCAGCGGATAGTGTGCAAGAAGGCGTATTTCATTTAGGACAAACATAAAACAATGATAAGCCCTCTGAGCACTCCGGGCCCCGGGTATTTTGCCCCCCCCCCTCTCGCAGGCCTTGGTGAACTTGTAGGGGGGCATTTCGAATCCCAGAAACTTTTCGTGTTTTCGAGGCTCCTGCATGCCTTGTGGAGGCGGGCATGTATCATCTGTAGTAATTTGAATATTCATGCAAATGTCAGTTTGCATCTATTTTTATTTCTTTTCATTGCACGAAAAGCACTATCATGCAACCTCCCGAGTTTATGCTATAACACGATATATTATATATGGAGAGAATGTTATCGAGTGAGATGTTTCATAATTCCCATACCATGCACACAACGCTGAAGACTCTGCTCGCCGCGGTTGAATTTCGAACTCACAACCTTCGAATTACTGGATCGATTCTCTACCAATTGAGTTTATAACACGGTCAGGACGGATTGAAGATACGGGAAAATCCCCGAAAATTTGGAAAAAATCCCAGAATCCCAAGGATCTTTGTACTTTTTTTCAGAGTAACAATTTACCCTTCGCTATAACCCTTTTATTTTGTATGTACAGGAGCTAGGAAACCTTAGCTTATACATACTATCAGTTCTAAACTCTTCTCCCTATAAAGGTCCAATAAGCTAGGATACTAGCTACAAGAGGAAACCTTAACTAAACCAACTTTATAAAACAAGAGCGTCTGCTTACTGCACTGATATAACGTCCCGTATGCAAGTTCTGAAGTTAATTTATTAACTTTGCCAAATTCAAATAACGTTAACACAAAAACTGGCAGGGGAATCGCAACAGCCTGCCGCCAATTACTGCGATCCCTAAATGTTACAAAAATATACTATGTATAGGTACATAGAAAAAAACAATTACTAACGAACTATCAGATACTTTTCACATTGCGACCCACATGACCTCTTCCATTTTCGGAAGTCAAAGGAACCAACAATTAATATTGCCGTAGTTTCAATGATTTCGCTTTTCAATGATCCTTAAACGAGGATTGTCACCTTGGATATTGCCCAATTGCAAGGCCAAAAATGATTAAATTTTAGATACATTTGCATGAAAATTGTATGAGACATTTGTTTTCTGTCTTTGTTTGCCGGGCAGAGTAAACAGAACAGTAATAATTTACGCATGATACATACATAACTTAATAATACGCTGGCAGAGATAGTCTTTGAGTGCCCCGGCCCTAGTTTTATAATGTCGCAAATCTCTTTGATTTTGTTTAATTGATGTAAAAACTGTGTAGGATGTTCCCCTGTTGGAGTCACTGTGGTGCCAGATAATAGTGTAACCTGCGTCACAGACGTTCGTGGGCGCAAGACGGGAAATTTCACCACAGACACAAGAGTACGCCGACATCTAATGTAGTCCGGTGACACAGAACGGCATACGCAGAAAGCCAACTTAGCCAGAAAAGCCCAACCGCCGCCACGCCATAATTCCCAATGATTCGTCATCAAAATACACTCGCCATGTAGGAAGCCAGTGTGCTTATGAGAGATAATAGAGACCTTACGATTTTAGGACATTGAACATTGAACATTGAACATTTATTTAAACACGGTAAAATCTTCAGTGTAGAATAAAATACAAAAACTATTAATAAATTTCACACATTACTATATACACACTAATTTCCTAACTAAAATGCACTGTTTTCCAAGATTGCCGTGTGGGGATCCCATTATAATGTCAAGAATTGATTAATTTCATTTTTGAAATGCCTCAATGATTTGGACGTACGTGCAGTTTGAGGAAGCGCATTCCATAAACTTGCTCCACTGTAGCAGAAACTACGCTTCATAAAGTCCGTACGTGGTTTTGGTAAATTTAGCTTCATTTCTGCATTTCTTAAGTTATAATCTGTGCTGCGAAATGTAAACATGTTTTGTAAATACTCTGGCGTTAGCTTATTGATGGTTTTAAACATTAGTATAGACTTGTGCTTTTTCCTACGTAAGGAAAGATTGTCCCAATGCAGTTTCTCTAAGAGAATGCTAGAGCTGACATCGTAGTTGGATTTCGTAATCACTCTAGCAGCTCTATTCTGCAATTTTTGCATTTTTTCACATAATGTTGCGCCAAATTCGTCCCAAATGGGACTACAGTAATCAAAGTGAGGTTGAATTATAGCGTTGTAAATTTGGATTGCTGTTTCAGTTGATATAAATGGTTTTATTCGCTTAAGAGCACCTATAGCGGAAGAAATCTTTTTACACTTCATATCAATGTGTTTAGACCAAGACAGATTTTTATCAATAATTACACCTAGTGATTTTGCCTCATCAACTTGTTTAATCACATGACCATCCAGGTCAATATTGATATTTTCGTTAGTGTGCGCATGCATACGTTGTCGAGATCCTATTATCATAAATTCTGTCTTGGCGATATTAAGGCTTAATTTGTTCGCTTCCAACCAGCTTTTCAATTTTTTTAATTCCGAATTAATAACATTTTCTAGTTCAGCGATAGTGTTGGCCGCATAACTAATGTTCGTATCATCAGCAAACATTCTCGGTACTGCTGCACTGAGACAATTAGGAAGGTCGTTAATATACACAAGGAAGAGTAATGGTCCTAAGTTACTTCCCTGTGGTACACCACGTGTAACTGATGCAGATGATGACAAGCAACCTCTAACATTACATTTCTGAGATCGACCGGTCAAATAAGACTGAAACCATTCGAGACTTAATTGATCCATACCGTAAATTCGAAGCTTCCGCAGCAATATCTGATGATCAATAGTATCGAATGCTTTTTTAAGGTCGATAAATATTACTCCATTGAAGAGGCCATTGTCAATATTAACTGACCAGTTACTAGTGGATTCAAGAAGAGCAGTAAGTGTACTATGTAACGACCTGAAACCGGACTGGCAATGCGTTAACAAGCTGTTAGAACTGAAGTAATTATAAAGTTGCTCAAAGATTAATTTTTCGAAGATTTTGGCTACAGCTGAAATAACTGATATTGGTCGATAGTTATTCGGATCATTCCTTTTTCCTTTCTTAAACGCGACGCGACGACGGCCAAAACAAACTCCTAAAAATAAATGGTAGTAAAGATAATTCGTCGTACATTATCAATCGTATGAATTTAATACACTCTTAGAAGTTGAAGACATGAGTTTTATGGTTGGGAAGAGTTCTCCTGAACCCAGGTGATTTGGCGTTGTAAACAGAGCGAGGACAATGTCTAAATTATTCATATATTGTAATTTTTCAATCCTTTTCAATGATCTATTGTATTGGTAGCCGTTTCCGTCGCGTTGTCGTCCTAAAATCGTAAGGTCTCTATTAACCCCAGAATTACGTCCGCCATTTTGAATATTTTCAGGCGGATGCCTATGGCGCCACCACTCCTAAGCGCATCTACGCACTGGTTATAAGAACATGCATGGCGACAGCATAGGAATGGTTACGCCAAAATCATAGGCAAAACCAGGAAGTCGGCCTTCGGTAAGGTCTTTATTCTGTGCCAATGATAGCGTACCAGCCTTTGTTTTAGCATAAAACTTTATTTCACTTCTCATGGGGAAGGAAAGACCAGTATTTAATTTAATTGACCGAGGTGATGTCAGAACTTTGATCTAACTGTTCTCGAACAACGGGTACGGAGTACGGTTGAAGGCTTGTTTTCGCATTGCTTTAAACAAAGGCAGACAAAATTTACATATCCCCAGAGCATACATTTCACCGTAGTGACCTTGGCTACAGCGTAAAAATCACATTCTTGTGTTGTAAAACAGAATCAAGAACATTGCACCGAAACTGAATACACAACGTTGCAGGTTGGAGAGTATTTTTATGAAGAAATGATGAACATTAAAATATGAAACTTGCCGAACACAAAGCCATGCACATAAAACATATTTGGGATAAACTTGTTATGACAAGCATTTAGTATTTGCATACATACAACAAAAACTATTTCAGTTAAACGTAGTCGGTAGTTCGTCGTGAAGATCTTAAACTCCATACTTCCCTAAACGACAGACACGTATGTAAAATAACTGTCTTGTGAAACTCGTTAATAATTCATGAAGAAAACACAAAAAGAAATCATGAGCGTCCTTACGCTTCACATTTGTATATCTGATACAGAATCATGCGGATTTTCATAAACTTTTAGTTTAATTTTCTCACCAGTATAATGGCAAATATCATTCATTACTAATCATTAGATTGTTGAAAGAATACGTGGAATGTTCTCATCGAGGCGTTTCACAAGCCACATAAAGTAAGAGCCGTAGCTATAGGGGGATGAGGGGAGGGCATGAATACCTTTGAATACCATGAATACCACTGCACACGGATAAAACAAAATTTTGTGGCTTTCTTCGTGTTTGGGGAAACCACTTCGTCTTCGTTTATTACAAAAAATTGCTTATCTGTAACCGGAACGAAACGGGAAACCATTTTGTTTTTGTCCGCAGGTAGGCTAAATAGTGCAAGGATATCAGGAGCTACATGAGCAACCAATCAAATTGCATGAAAAGCACTATATATCCACCCCCTCAGTATATGTTAAAACACAATATATCTCTGAAGAATTTCAGAACTGTAGTATGACTAGCGTATATGCGCATAGTATATGTTGGAGAAACCGGTAGAACAATTGGATCGCGAATCAAGGAACACTTAAAGATGGACAAACACACTGCATGTGTACAAACATATATAGAATCTCATAAGATTGGACGACCAGATCAATCTGACACAAGTTGGAAAATATTACATAGAAATATAATCTACCAAGATGAACGCAAATGTATTGAAGCTTTTGAAATACATAATCGTAGCGAAAATATTATGAACGGTGTTGCATAGGTAGAACAATTAGTATTTAATTAATTATTCCAAACATGCACTGCTTGACCGGACTCGTAGGCTATAGCTAATTGACATTTCAATAGATTATATATATATATATATATATATATATATATATATATATATATATATATATATATATATATATATAAGTAGTATAGTAGGGGCCGATCGATCCGGATTTTTGAGGTGGTGGATGAGGTGGTGTGAGGTGGTGGAGTGTGAGGTGGTGGAGTTTTGAGGTGGTGGGTGTCCACCACCTCATTTATAATTAATACTCGTCCAATTGAGGAGGAGTAATGACGTCACTCATTAACATACGTCATAATTATATGCAATGACGTCACGCGGGCAGGTTTAAACAAGATCGGGCAAAACTTGCTGACTAGGCATTTTTTAGCGTCTCTCCACGTGTATGATACAATGGAGGGATTAATGTTGGCTTACTATGATTGGTTGCTTGATTTAACGAGCGTCTGTATAAAATCGACAAGCGTCTTGTAACAAGCATAGTTCTGCATTTGACGACGCTCTTACTGGAGGTCTTTTGGAGAAATTTATATTCGGAGAGAAGTACTTGGAAGAGAATGGCCATGATTCAATGATTCAATCTTAAGATTCAATGATTCAATCTTAAGATTGAATCATTGAATCATAAGATTGAATCATTGTATCATAAGATTGAATCATAGATTGAATCATTGAATCATAAGATTGAATCATTGTATCATAAGATTGAATCATTGAATCATAAGATTGAATCATTGTATCATAAGATTGAATCATTGAATCATAAGATTGAATCATTGTATCATGGATTGAATCATTGAATCATAAGATTGAATCATTGAATCATAAGATTGAATCATTGAATCATAAGATTGAATCATTGAATCTTAAGATTGAATCATTGAATCATAAGATTGAATCATTAAATCTTAAGATTGAATCATTGAATCATAGATTGAATCATAAGATTGAATCATTCAATCATGGATTGAATCATTGAATCATAAGATTGAATCATTGAATCATAGATTGAGTGAAGCTTTACAGAAGCTTCACAGAAGCTTTACAGAAGCTTCACAGAAGCTTTACAGAAGCTTCACAGAAGCTTCACAGAAGCTTTACAGAAGCTTCACAGAAGCTTTACAGAAGCTTCACCTGAGCCGAAGGAACTTGGTTCCGAGCTTAAGGAGCTGGCTCCGAGCCTAAGGAGCTCGGCTCCGTTACTCTTTACGTTTATTACGCATGCGTGATCTTATTACTTTTTCTACTCTATAATAGTCACTGTCTGATTTGTTGACTTTCTGAAGTTCCTGCTCGTAAAATGTTCCTTCCAGTTCTTCACCGTCATAATCTCCAATCTTGTAAACAGGCGGTCGTCGAAGCACGCGTTTCGTTACCGTGAACACTTCTTCAGTCCAATTGGGCAAGTATCCTTTCTTAAATGTTCGCTTTGCTTTGCTAATCCGGACTTGGTCCCCAATGTTAAACTTAAACTGGATTGATTTTTTTGACTCCTTCCCGTAGAGTGTTTGCCACACAATATTCTCGTTACTTTTATTCACATCTACCGGTCTCATACCAATACTACGATGTCGAGAATGATTATAAGATTTGACCAGTTTCTGGAGAATGTCCACGTACTTGAGCGTATTGTTCGCTGTAAAGTATTTCCCCATTTTCGTCTTGAGCGTACGATTAAACCTTTCAACAATCGATGCCTTGGTTTCGTTGTACGTCGTAAAAAATCGAATGCCATGTTTCTTCAAAAAGGTTTGAAACTGTCTATTGATAAACTCCGTCCCCTTATCAGTGTGAAACATTTTCGGTTTACGACCTTTCTTGATTATTTTCTCAAAGGCTTTGACAAGATTGTTCCCAGTTTTTGCTTTTATCGCTTCAACCCACGCATATTTGCTGAGTACATCAATAACAGTTAAAACGTACTTGTACCCATTATTCTGTTGACTTAATGAATCCATAATGACTAAGTCTGCCTCCCACTCATCATCCATGGCTCCAACTACAACACGGTTACGCCTGAAGCGATATCTGACAGGTTTATGCAATGAATAGGCATCTTGCTTTTGTAACCATTGGCGTATTTTATTCCGCGATATCTCATATTTCCCTTCGTTTTTCACGGCGCGATAAACGGAATCTACGCCACCAAACCTTGCGGGGCTTTCTGGATCGTAATAGATCTGGCTTAGATATTTCTCCGCCATCGATGTCTGAGGCTTGAATTACAATTTTTCCACCACAGCAAGCAGAAATACAGCGTACTTTTCGAAAAATGTTTCGAAGAGAGATTTGTGGTAAACCTTTACAGCAAGGCATCCTTACTCTTCAGAGCTTTGAACAAAATGAAACATCCAGTAATTATAGACTGATATATAAAGCTATCAGTGTGAGTGAGAGTGTTATTAAAATTGGACGTTTACTTCGTTTATGTTTGGGAATAGTAAAAATTCGACATGCCTCGATGGTTTTTTGTACATTGTGACGAATAGATTCCTCGCTATTATTTTGTACACATACCAAAGCTAAATAGGCAATGATACAACCAAAGTTTGTTACCTTGATCTCTCTGTAGATTTGGTCAAGGTCAAGGTCTAGATCACGAACATTTACTGCACGATATAGATCTCGACGGCGGTCGAGAATTGTATTTATATGAAACGATAAAGTTTGCTTATCAATATCAATTTCATTTCGTTTCAACTCATCAAAAATTATATCTATGTTATCCATGATACTCTCACCACAACGATTGAACAACAAATGAGACACACAGTATTTATTTCAGTAAATATATGCAAATTTACATTAATTAACTAGCTACGTATTATTATTACAAGAGGTCTATTTTATCAAGTTCACTTGTTAAACCAAATCTACGAAATTCATCATAGGCCTCCTTAGTGTTAGATTTAGAACTATTAAATGTCTCTCCTGTTTCTTCAATTATGTACTGGTATTGTAGTGGATTACTGAAGAGCACGATGCCCGTGTTGGTCACCCGAGGGCCTTGTTGCTTCCATTCGAAGAAACCACAACAGTCATCCTTCGGACAGCAGTAAAACAGACGGTTTTGATTCGGACCATCTTTCTTGACTTTTCGTTCACAGCACACCATTCCATGTTGACATAACGGTCTTGGACCTTCGAACACGTCTCCCCATTGCCAGAACTTGCAGGGATTCTTTCGCTCAGAACATACGAAGAAGGGTCGTCCGTAGTTATCTTTCATTGTGTCTTTGACTACACATAACTTGGCAAATTTCTGATGTGTAGGGCACACGGGATGTATAGAACCACTTGCACGAAATGCAGCTACAGCTCTTGTATACATATAACAATTTTCGTCCGGGCAAAAGAACTCACAGCTTGGTTTTTCCCCACAAAACCAAAACGTACCATTGTTTGTAGTTGTAGAGGCAGCAGCTTTTCCGTGTAGACACTCCATGACTGATGTAGAACTAATGCAAAACTATGCTTGTTACAAGACGCTTGTCGATTTTATACAGACGCTCGTTAAATCAAACAACCAATCATAGTAAGCCGACATTAATCCCTCCATTGTATCATAAACGTGGGCGACGCTAAAAAATGCGTAGTCAGCAAGTTTCGCCCGATCGTGTTTAAACCTGCCCGCGTGACGTCACTACGCACCCTCATTTGTGCGGCCCCCTTAATTACCTGCATATATAATGTGCGCCGCCCCCTTGCATAGTAATTACCTGCATATATAATGATACGCCGCCCCGCGCCGCCCCAAAAATCCGGCCCGATCGGCCTCTATATTACTACTGCTGGCAAAACAGAGATTGGTCGGTAGTTATCAGGCAAATTTTTTTGGCCATTTTTATAAAGAGGTGATACTCTTGCCATTTTCCATTCATCGGGAAAAGTGCATAGTGTAATAGCCTGATTAAAAATATAAGTTAATGAACTGGAGACAGCAGGTGCTGCTAGTTTTAAAATTTTACTTGAAATTTTGTCAATGCCAGTGGCTTTTGCACTAGAGAGGCCACGTGGGAGATAATAAACTTTGTTGGTGGTAATTGACTCAAATACAGTGAATTCTGATTTAGGTTTCTTAATATACTCTTGAAAATTGTAATTCGAAGTATCAATTTTGCTAGCTAAGTCAGGCCAAATATTTGAAAAGAATTCGTTAAAGCCCTCTGCAATGTCTTCTGAATTTGAAAAATTATTTCCACTTATACTCAACTCATTTACTTTTGTTGGTTTGTTTTGTCTGCCAAGCCTCCTTTGGATTTTGTTTTTGACCAGCAATTCTCTTGGAGTAATAATCCTGTTTGGCTTTTTTCATTTCTATATTTACTTTATTTCTGGTTTGTTTATACACTAACCAATCTGCTTCAAGGTTTTTAATAATGGCTTTTCTCTTAGGTCTATCCCTCTTATTTATAAGCTTTTTGATTTCACTAGTAATCCAAGGGACTTTTTTTATCTGATCTTTTTTTGTTGAATGGATGCATGCTTATTTAGTACTTCCTCGAACAATTTCTTCCAAATCTCCCACATAGTGTTTGGATTATCAGCGAAGAAGTATACACATTCCCAATGCTGATTAAGTTAATCTTCAACAAATCTTTTGTCATCAAAGTTTTTCATATTTCTAATTTCCATTATGTTTTCATCTTGTTTCTTAGAAATATGGATATTTCTGATGGTATTAATACCAAACTATGATCACTGATTCCTGTATGAATGACATCAAAATCGGAGATTTTCTTTGGTGTATTAGTAACTATATGATCAATGAGGCTGGAGGTTGTCATGGTTACCCGAGTAGCTTCCTTAATTAATTGTGACAATTGATATAGTTAATACAGTGATTTTATTTTCTTGGTTGGTGTATCGGATTCTGTTTTAAGCATGTCACAATTTACCCTGCGAGCAGAGCCTTATTTTCGTTTCTTCGGCGAGGGGAAAAGGAGAAAATAAGGCTCTGCAGTATTCGTGTTTTGCTTCGTCCAAGATTCTGGACGAAGCAGACCGGTTTAACCAGTTTATCCGGTATTTAATGCGCGCGGCTACAGTTTGACGGTGAACCGATGACTAAATGCGAGCCAGCGACATAGCCAACAAAACGAAATGCCCGAAATCGAACTATACTTATACGAGTTTGTTGCAAATGAATCAAGTTTTGGCATTTACACACGAAAACTAAAGAGAGTTTTGTTTGAAATTTGATAACATCTTCAAAATACCTTACGTTTAATATCATTCTACAATTTCGCGCGAGCTTGAAGTCTTGAACGGATAAGCGGATCAAACGATGCTGAATTTTGATTCGCTAGTAATAAAGGCGGACGTCTGCGAAGACAGGTCTAAAATTTCATATAGCTGTAACTAGGCAACCGACAGAGCATGCGCAATGGAAGCAAAACACGAATACTGCAGAG